AATCTAGGGTCTGTATAGGGCCCTAACTGTAAAGCTTCCCCAACAAGTCTGTCAGCTAATTCGTGATGGTCTGGGCCAGAATAATAATTTTGATAGGAAGAATGGTGATTGGGGGTGGGTCTATAGCCACCATAAAATTGTTGTTGTTGTTGGTTGTTGTTATAGTAAGGATGTTGGGGTAAATGTCTGTAAATAAATAAATTTTTAGTTAAAAGTTCGAATATTTAATTTTAATATATTTTGTTGGGAAGTTTCTAAGAGAAGATACAGGATTTTTCGAAAGGATTTTCGAGTATTTGGGAAATTTACGAATGGATAAAAACAACCCATAATTGGGTTGGATAAAGACAAAGTAATTTATAGAGACCGGGAGACCGGACTGTGAGGGTCGCACGATCTCAATTATCGAGATTATTGTTCGAGATCACGTCTCGATCCGGTCTTTAACCAGCCAAGTTTTTGTACACAGTACCAATGTTCCCTTGTAAGGTAGTTTACGAGGGGAATAAATCATGCAAATATAAAGGAGCCAAAAAAGTCTCCCTTTTTGAAAATTATTTTTAAACTTCACACCTTTGCATATGAACAGCGTTTGAAGTAGATTGACGTGGATATAATTCAATTGGACGTACAACTGTTCTAGTTGTTGGAGAATAAGGTAGACGGACAGGGCCAGTTGGATCAGGCCTTTTTTGAGAAAAAAAATTTTCAAGGATTTATTTCTGAAATTACCTATAAGTCTCTTCATAACCATCATCATCTAACAACCAATCCTCATTTAATAACCCAGCCATTGCAAATGCCTGATTTCTTGCCAAAGCTAACGGTCGCCTTAATTGGGGTCCATGCTGCAAAGAAAGGTTTGACGGTCCTACTAGACCTCTTCTATTTCGATTTTCTTGTAAATCTAATCTTGTTCGTCGTTCATATAAATCTTCCTCATCCGAATCTGTTGGCATACTTGAGAAAATTTAAAAAAATATTAATTTTAAAAGGGTGGTTGTTTCCTTTCCACTCCTTAATACCATTTTTCCAACCTAAAGTAGAAACCTAGAATTAAAGTTAGGGGCAGTTTCTACTGGTTTATTGAAGAAAATCAGCAAGCTTAAAGAATCAGTCTCATCCTGGATTTTTGCCATACATATAAAAACACCACACAGGTAGGGTTGGGAGCCACGTTCGGTTCGATAAATCGAATCGGGCATTGAATTTTGGCCCGAAAAAGACTCGACCGGTCCGGTTCGATAAAAATGAAGCCCGAAGGAATGACTCAAACGTCGTCTAGGTTCGAAAAATCCAACCCTACCCACAGGCCTTCTTTGATAAACAAAGTTTAGCCCTATCTTTTTAGGCACTCTTTTTTCTTAAGAATATTCAATTAATTTATTCACACCTTCTATTAACAAAAATAAATCGTTGTGCAGCTGTAGTAGGTCCATATTGTTGTCCTCCATAAGATTGTTGTTGATTTGAAGGGGGAGGAGGGGGAACAGGACCATCCGCACTTCCACGAAATCCATTATTTACTCCACCAAGAGAAGAATCATTAGAATCATTTAAAGGTCTTTGAGAATCTGTCCTTTCTCTACGAGCCCCATAAATTGCTGCTAAATTGGGTAGGCGACGGCGACGATTATTATTATTGCCGCCAATTCGTGAAATACCATTTGGCGCAGATGAGTCTTTATAAAGTGGGAGTTGTTGTTCTGAAGAGAGCTCTGGGGGCATTGCAGGGCTAAATTGATGAAAAAATATTTTTTAATTATTTTAAAAAGAGAGAAAATATTAAGGAAGGTCAATCATTAGAGGTAATCTGTGGTAGGAAGAAAAATTATAAAAAACTCAAAAAAGAACCTAAAATCATAAAATTTATCAAAAATGTCTCCAATAGTGTTGTGGGGGAGTTGGAACTCCGTGATGGGAGGTTGGAACTCCGTGATGGTATTCTACTGACATTAAATCTATCTCCTCCAAAAATTTCAGAATTTTTAGTTAAGAATTTTAAAAGTTCTGATCAGAAGAAGCAACAAAAATAGGCAATTTTCAAAAAAATAGAAGACATTTTCGGTTATAATTTCAGAAATACAAAATCAGAAATTCTGAAATTTTTAGGGGCGTTAGATAACACTATTAGGGATATATCTGGAAAATTTTGTGTCTCTAGGATCCAATTTGAATTTTTTAAAATTCGGTGATTAACGTATGTTCTCCACTTTTCCCTTGTAATCATCATCACACAATCCCATCTCCAAAAAAATTTTTTCCCGTTAAAATAATTTTATTTATTCCACTCCCTACCGTCCAATTAGAGCAATAGGTATTTCATCTGGATATTGTTGATTATGTGCTGCTTTATGAGATGGAGGTAAATTAACAGATTTATTAGTAGGCATTCCTCTATGCAATAAATGGGGAGTTGGAACTCCGTGATGGTATTCTACTGACATTAAATCTGCTGCGGCGATTGAATGTGTTGGAGAAAGGCCTTCTTCTTTAATAAAAAAATATTTTTTAAAAATTTTCTATTTTTTAAATAAAATTAGAAAGTCAAAAGGGAATTAAATTTCAAGGACAGGGGCAGTTCGCAAAAAGAAAATTCACCGAATAAAATTTTTAAGAGTGATTTTTTGATAAAAAATAAATCTGAATATGATTACATAGAAAAATAGAATTACATAGAAAAAATTGTCCCAAAAAATGGCTTAGATTTACACTTAAAATGCAAAAACTCTAAATAAAGTGTCTCTCCTTCCTTGCTTAAAAACTAAAAAAGTCCTTTTTGCTTTAAAAGTCTGTCCATCAAGCGCCAAAAAATTTAAGACGTCTCTAGTGACAGAAAATTGGAAGAAGAAAAAAAGGAACAGAAAATTTTTGGGGACAGAGGAGAGGGAGGGAAAGAAGGAGTTTTTCGACACTTTAAAAAATTAAAGAAGATGGACTAAAAAAATAAAAAAAGAAAAGTGTTTATTGGAAAATTTGGTAGAAAATTGGAAAGGGAAATTGAAAGAAAATGTGACAAAATTAAGCTAAAGTGACAGAAACTCTTCCAAAAAAAATTTTTTTTTAAAGAGTGAAATGATGTTATTTGTGAAAAATAAATAAATTTTTAAGAATACAAGGGAAAACGTTAATTTATTATCTTAATTTTTTAAATGAAGTTGTTTACGAAGAAAAAATAAATCATTCTTCTACAAGGTATAAGAAGTAGAATCCCTCTCATAAAGAAAACCACCTTCCTTCGCTCCCGGGTATGAGAAGGAAGGAGATGGAGAAGGAAGGAGAGGGCTTATTCAGGGTTGTTGGTTCTAAAAATTCTTCAGATATCAAAACCCAAATTAAAAAATTTTCAGTTCTTCGGTTCGATTGCGAATTAAACCATTTAGTGTAGAGCCTTCCAATATTTAGAAAAAGAAGAAAATATAAAATATACACGGGAAAACGAAGGGAAGGGAGGAAATCTAAAAACGATACGAGGGGAATCGGTTTCTTAAGTAAAAAGTAGATCCAAAAAATTTATTTAAAAATTTAAAATTTTTTTCTTTCATTTTCTAATGTCAAAAATAATAAATTAACCAAACAAAAATTATTTTCTGGTCAAAAAATCTAAAAATGGAAAGGCAAAAAGGAAAATTTTTTAAAGAGAAAATAATTAAAAAATAAAGAAATATATTTATGTTTTATGAGAAAAAAAAAAGAAAAAGCCCCAAAATTAGCTTTAAAAAAAAGAAAAAAATAAATTAATGTGTTAATTTAGCATAAAATGATTAATGAAAGGGAAAAAAATTTTTTAAAATTAATTTTTGGAATTTTAGAAAAAAAATATTTTTTAACTAAAAAATAAAGGGGAGCAGGCCAACTTACCGCAGAGGCTTCCTATTAGATAAAAAAAATTCTTCCTTCAGAATTGTCAAATCTGGGACGCCTTGGTATGGTTCGATGCGCCTCGACGAGCTGAATCGAACCACACCAGGTCGTCCCAGATTCGACAATTCGGAACGAAGTTATAGCTCTGCGGTAAGTTGTGGGTGTACCCTAATAAAAGGTAAAGGTTTAACACAAAAATTGTAATTTAATTCTTTTATTTTTTTGGCATTTTCTCTCATTTAAATGTTAAGTAAATAAATAAAAATATTTACTTAAAAATAAATATTTTTTTGAAAAAAAATTTTCTTAGAAGGAAATATAATATTTGTGTGAAAATGTTAAGAAAAAAATATATTTATTTAGTTAGACCTCCTCAGATAAAAAATTCTGCCGTTAAAATGAGAATGATAGGGGTGACACTATAGTGTGAGGTCCGACTTTAAAAAGTATGGATGGACTCTGACCCTTCGGGGTAGAAAAGATAGGGATCGGAGTTAGACAGGATTGGGACTGAACGCGATCGGGGTTCTTTAACAAAAAGTCAGGTTTAATAGAAAAAAGGATTGTAGATCCGAAAGTTCCAAAAATCTTGAATTACAAAAATTTTAAATTTACTGGCCTCTTCCCAAAAATTAAATAAAAATCCTCACTTTTCAAAGGCATCAATTTTCGTTGTTCCCAACCTTCACCACCTATTATGACTGCCCCATCAGCTTCAGATTTATCTCCAATTGTTTTATCTGTTGTTGGACTACCGACTGCATCTGCTGATGTTGGACCTCCCAAAGCGTGAACAATATTATTGAAGAGAGAATGAGTTCGCTAAAAGAGTATTTTTAGAATTTAATGTCTTAAAAATGATTGGACACGCAGTCAAAAATATAGCGGCTGGTCGAGGTATGGGTTTTTTGAACAAACCGAGAGAGGATCACCGAGTCAGGAAAAGCCGATATCAAAGTAGAGGGGCAAATTTGGGTCGAGGTACTCGGCCTCGGCGAGGCCTCGACCAACTCTAGTCATAAACAGGATTATTGGTTCAGAAGAGTTGGGAATTTTTCCGTTCGGTTAACAGAAATTTTCAGCTCGAATATCGGTTCGTTTCTTCAGTTAGCCAGAAAATTTTAGTTCTTGGCTTCTTAGACTTGTGAAATTCCAAAAATTTTCGCCGGCAGCGCTAAGAATGAAACGAAAACTTTTCTGTGCCCAGACTTCTCAGCGCCCAAACTTTCCCCTCTAAAGTTTACCCTATGTTGAGGTTCTTCCGATTCAAGTACAAAACCAGGGTCAAGTGTCCCACTAATCGCTCTTTTCAATTCTGGTCCAATTTCGTGTAAAGTTCTTAGGCCAGCTTGAAGTGCCATTGCGTGAGTATTTGGTGCAGCCATTCCTTTTGCCTCCAATTCTTTTCGTTTTTTAAATCGTCGAAAATAGTCTTGAATTAAAAATGTTGCGTAAAACTTTCCAACAGTAACTTCATCGTCTTCTAAAATTTTTTTAGAAATAAAAAAAAAATTTTTTTTTTGTTTTCACTTCCAGCTGGAGGAACAACTTCATCCAGCAATTTAATTGGTGTACGTTTCCAAATTCGTCGAATAGCTGATCTTAGCTGTTCATTTGCTTCGTCTATATTTCCATCAGTGTAAATTTTTAAATTTGTGCGGACCAACTGAAAAATAAAAAAAAGTTTGAAATTAATTTTTATTCTTCTTAAAAATATTTTTTGGTAGTTTTAAAAATTCCCTAATTTTACATGCGAAAATAACTTTTGAATAAAACTAACGGCAAAGAGCGTAGCATTAAAACAAACAGTTCCATCTAAATTAAGAAAAATATTTGTTGAAAATTTAATTATTTAATTAGTCGAGTCTAATTTTTAGACACACCTTACAGACTGAAAAATAATAGTATGAGGGGCATTTTTAATTTGGGTTGAGTAGATGATTGATGGAGATGGGAGTAGGGACAGGGGTATTCCTTAGGAAACTCGCTCGTTTAATGTAGGGTTGATATATGTACATAGAGTAATTTTCAGTACGGATATCGGATCTGAATATGCAGGGATTTCTCTGGATCCGCCAACCCCGCTAGTTCCTATCGAATTTTAAAAACCCTATCCTAAATTGAGGATTACCCAATTATTAAAAGTACCCAAAAATGAGGATCTCGACTGGATTAAAAATTTTTTGAAAAAATTACCAACCACTATTTAAAGGCATATTCATAGAAACAAGCCTTTTACAGGCCAATCTGTGAGGACATAATTTACCAAAGCCTAAAGGAGGCGAAATCTTTCTTAAAAGGGTAACAACATCCAAATGTTTAATTCTCCCTTTAGCATCAGGGTCATATTCAGACCACAAACGAACAAATTCTTCTAAATGATGAGGTCCAAGAATTGACCAATCACGAGTTAAATAATCAAAATTATCCATAATAACAGCAACAAAAAGGTTAATAATTAGGAAAGAACAAAGCATGAAGAATGAAATAAAGTAAGGGTAGGCAAAATTGACACCTTAAGAATTATATTTTTTCGGGTATTTTTAGAAATGGATGATTAATGTTTGGAGTTAGGATGACCTTATTGAGGGGAAGCATGGGATATGATGAAGCTGTTAAGAAAAGAGATTAGATAAGGGAAGATAGAGATAATAAAGTTAAGAATAAACTATGGTGAATCGAAAAATAGACCCTTCAATCATTCCCATCTTTACCTTACCCTATCCAAATCTTTATATTATCACAGAAGCTTAAACTAAAAAATAAAGTGGCCGAACCCATACCAGAAAATAGCAAGATAGGATGGGACTCGATACTGAGAGTTTATTTTCTAATCTAGGAGGAAACTTTGCTGTCCTTATTCCTTATTCATTTCCTTATCCTTTCCTTTACTGTCCTTATTCCTTATCAAGTCTCAATTTTATTTACCCATAATATCCCTCCTAATTACTATCTCAACAAGTAACCCTATTCACGTTCAGGATAAAAAAATAGAACTTAAATTCTAAATTAAAACTGACCACATCCAGCATTTGGATCCTTTTTGTAATCATCACTAGCTGGATCACATTTTACATCCTTAAAAAATTAAAAAATAAATTGGTGAACAAAAAGCCTGTTTTACTCACCTCTCTATCAGAACATGCCAACATAATTTCTTGCCAAGCTTCTCCTGTTGCTGATCTAATTTTAATTTTTTTTTGAAAATCTAAAAAAAAATTTTTCTTTACCTAAAAAGAACAAGCACAGCAGCAGGAAATGTATGAAAATTATTATTCCGATGTATTTGTGTATCATCATCAAGGGCTACTTTACCAAATACTTGCATTCCAATTACTGCATAAATAAAGAATAAAAGGACAATCAAAAGTGCGACATAGGGTAATGCCTAAAAGTTTAATTTAAATTAAAAAAATATTTTTCAAAAGGAATGAGGTTCTCCTTAATCTTTGAGAATAACAATCCACTTATAGAAGAACGCGAGAATATTTTCTCAGAGACTTCATTTCTGTTCCAGTCTTGTTTGACTTATAGAGACCAGTGATGGATAGGGTTACCTGAAACCCGCCCCCCCCCCCCCCCCCGTTTTTCTCAATCAAACCAATCACTGAAGAAGGCGATAATGAATAGAGGTGTTGTTCCAGGAGGAAAAAAGGAGAAAAGATGGACAAAATTCTTGAAGCGAGTCACCGTCCCCTTAAATTACAACTACATCATCTCCTCTATTCAAAACGATAACTTAGTCTATATTCAAGACTACCTTAACTTCAAAAATTCTTAATTAAATTTGTTCCTCATGAATGTTAATGAAATTATTCTTCCATAAAAACTTCTCAAATTTCAAAAAATATTTATTTACCTGAAAAGACTTCATAAAAGTCCACAAAAGCGTTCTAATCCCCTCTCCTCTACTCAACAACTTAACAAGCCTCATTACTCGAAAGAGACGAAAAAAATTAATTGAAATTATATTTGTCCCCGTTCCACCAATTTTTCCATAAATAATATCAATAAAAGAGCCTAGGACAATAACAAAATCAAAAGAATTCCATCTATCACCAAAATAATTTTTTGGGTTTAAAGCGATAATTTTGAATAAAGCTTCGAAGGCAAAGACACCAGTAAATATTAAATTGAGGATATCGAGAATATGGTCCATTTGAGGGTCTAAAAATTAAGAAAAAAATTAATTTTATAATTTAGAAATTTCAAAAAAAAATGTTTTTATTAAATAATTTTTTTTTAATTTTTAGTAAGCCCAAAAATAGTCGAAAAAAAATTCCTGGAGCTGAAGGGGATCGAACCCTTGCCTTCTCGCATGCAAAGCGAGCACTCTACCACTGAGTTACAGCCCCTCACATTGATTTAATTTTTATTTTCCCTTAAATGCCTAATGGGAAATTGCTCAAATTATCTAAACTCCTCTTTTAACGTTAGCGCAGTAATAAAATTTTGTTAATTAGTATTTTAATAAATACATTATTTAATTCTCTGATGTGATTTAAAAATTAAAATATTATCTCTAGGAGTTTTTTTTAATTTTTGATATAAAAAATAAATAGTCAAATATTTTAAAAATATTTTTGGTACTATTGCATTATCTCCCCCTATACTTCTTTTACCACTAGTCAATGACGCATATGTCCGGTGATTAAATTAATATAAAGTTGGAAATTAGATGAAAGGAACCGGATTTATTTTGGATTCAGAAATAATCTCGCAACCGGGATTTTTTATACCAATACTAAAGCTGAACTTAGCTATAGCTATTTCTCCTTCAGCTAATGCAAAGGGTTAATCGGCGGCTGTAAGCGAATCAGAATCTTTAGCTGACCGGACTAACTAACCACACCGCCTCCTGCATAGATTTAGGAATTAAATAGCTATATTCTTTAAATACTTGTTGCGGGATTAATCCGGTAAACTGCAAAATCTATTCCATTTGTAAATTTTAGAAGTGAAGAAAATAAAAAAGAGAGGGAGATAATGTAATAGTACTCAAATATTTTTAATCAGAAAATTTTTTAATCCTAAAAATCATATAAAATTAGAAAAGAAATCATTTTATTTATAAAAATTTCAAAAAAATTATCCTGGAGCTGAAGGGGATCGAACCCTTGCCTTCTCGCATGCAAAGCGAGCACTCTACCACTGAGTTACAGCCCCTGTTGTTTACGTTTATCTATTTCACTCTAAAGGCTTGTTTTCTAACTCAAAAAAGTTGTTTTATTTTATCTGCCCTTATTTTGAAGGAAATTAAAAACTTTTCAATTTTATTCTAAATAAATTAGGAAAATAAAAATTTGTTGTCAGGGGCTGTAACTCAGTGGTAGAGTGCTCGCTTTGCATGCGAGAAGGCAAGGGTTCGATCCCCTTCAGCTCCATGAATTTTTTTCGAAAATTTTTAATTAAAATAAAATTAAAGCACCTGGCGGGTAATGTTTTAAAGCCAAAGTAGTTGTGTTTAGCACTAAAGAAAATTAAAAAAAATTTTTTTTAATTAAAAATTACTAACTAATAATAATAAAAATTGCATATTCAAAAAATTGTGATGTCACAAACCACCAAACTCTATATTGGAAACGATTTCGAGGTATATAACGTCTATGTGGTTTTGCTTTGAGTGCAAATTCTGAGAAGAAAAAAATTAAAAAAATTAAAAAAAAAATTTTCTTCTTTTCTACCTATACATTTTCTTTGATTTTTGTCCAATTCACAATTTTCGTATTCCCTTTCTCCTTCATTTTGGAAAGTTACAATAACAAAACCGACGAAGATATTCATCATAAAGAAGGCTATGACTACAATGAAGGCCTGGAATTTTTAGAAAAAAAATTTTTTTAATTAAATTTTAATTCGATTAAATAGAAGAGATAGACATTTTAGACCCGTTAGCGCGTGTGGCGCGGATTAAAAAATCTTATCAAAGATGATAGCTTAAAATTCTGAAATTTTGCACATATATCCTCAAGAGTGTTATCCAACTTCTCTAAAAATTTTAAAATTTTTGGTTAATTATTTTAAAAGTTATGGGCAAAAAAGTATTGAAAAGCGACACAAATATTTACGAATAAAGGACATTTTTAATCAGAATTTTCGAAAATATTTAATCAGAAATTCTGAAATTTTTAAATCAATTAGATAACACTATTGAGAATATCTCTACAAAATTTAACACCCAAATTTTAAAATTAAAAAATTACAATAAAGAATATAGCCACGGGCTGTCGAGCATTATAAACAGGACCCCGATCTTCCTCATTAGAATTTATTGCAACATATAAAAGGTCTGGCCATCCTTCGAATGTTGAAACAACAAATAAAGAAATCATTGCATCCATTACATTATCCTAATATTAAATATTGGGAAAGTTTGTTAGAAAAAATGGAACAGTGGAAATTATATGGATGGCAGTTCTTAGTTAAAGCCTTTACAAATTACTAGAGACCGATCAAATGCCAAAATCGAGGCTTTGATCACAAATAAAACTTAATTGATAAATTATAAATTAGTGAATTTCTCCCATCCATGAACCTCCTCTCACCAGGGTTGCGTCGTAATTACGAATTACGATTACGAAAAAAAATTTCCGATTACAATGAAACTCTGCTCCTCACCCTGGAGGGAACTCATTTTAACTCAGACCCAAATATCTGAGATAATACCGTCATGATTCTAGAGATCTGGAATTTATTTTGGTTTTGGGGTTGAGAATAACTAGTCCCGAAATTGGAGAATTTATTTTTTGTCCCTCTTTCAGCCCGGAAGGAAATCTCGATCAAAAACCGTGGTCATCAAAACGGAGATTTTCCATGATCATTATAGGGATGCGGTTCTGGACCGAACCGAATCGAAGAACCGAAGATTTTTCAGTTCGGTTCATCGGTTCGGTTCTGGATATCCGAAGATTTTCCAAGAACCGACAACCCTAGATCATTAAAGTTTCCTTCCTATCCTTCCAAAAAACTCACAAAATGAAAATCAGCTCGTTGCCAAACCCTTTTCATGCTAACAGGCTTTGTTGGATCCCCATCCTCAAAAGTAATAAATTCCCCTCTACATTCCATTTCTGTCATTCTAGAAGGATCATTACAAGAAAAGAAAGTTCCTTTAAATAATTGAACACCGATAATTGCAAACATAAACTTTTGGGAAAATTAAAGAGAAATTAAAGATGATTTTCTCCTAAATTTACTTGAAGCATAAATGTAACCAACATAATATTCCCTATTGTTTTGACAGCAACAATAACACATTGAACAACATGTTTTAAACCTTTAGCTCGATTGATGGCACGTAAAGGACTGAAATGAGAAAATTTTTGGGGAAATTATGATTAAAGAATTCTAAAAAGTTTCAAAAAATTTTTATGGAGATTTCAGGATTTAAAAAAATTTTCAAAATTTTTTGGAAAATTCCAAAAAAAATTTCCCAAAAATTTTATTGAAAATTTCAAAATTTTTTGACTCAAAAATTTCACAAAAAATTTCCAAACTTCAAAGAAATTTTTTTTGAAAATTACAACTAGGGTTAGACTCCGACCCCGCACTATTCGATCCCAAAGAGTTCTACTCAAAAATTTTATAAAATTAAAAAAGAATTTTTCGAATAAAATTTCTGTAGGCCCAGAGCCTTAAAAAATCCAAAATGTTAAAGAAAGTTTATTTGAAAATTCAAGCTTTGGAAAAAATTTTCAAAAAAAATTTTTTCCCTTACCGTAAAACCCTCAAAACACGCAAAATCTTAACAACAGAAATTGCATCAGATTTTAAAACAAAAGAAATTAAAGAAACAGCAACAACCAAAATATCAAGTAAATTAAAAGCATTTCTGCAGAAAGAGCCTTTATGCAAAACTAGACCATAAACAATGACTTTTAAAGTTATTTCCACAGTAAATATTGTTGTGAAGAAATAATCAAAATAATTTAATATTGTATTTCGATAGGATTGAGCCTGAAAAAAATTTTTGAGAGGGATGAGAGAGGTTGAAAATGGGACATAAAGGAAGGAAAGGTAGGAAGGATTTAAAGGAAGGAAGGAAATCACTCAAAAACAACAAAAATAATACCAAACCCCCAAAAATAAAATTTTTTCTAAGCTTCCTGCAAAGTTTGAAAATCGGCATCTTAATTACATAATTATGAAAAGTCTAAAGACTTTTACGATTTATAATAATATCAACAAAAGAAGGCAGATCGAACATATGTCTTGATTAAGGTATTAATTAGGGTTGCTCACAGTCGTTTAACCGAGCCGAAAACCGAGGGTCGTAAACCGGCCAAAACTGTGGGTATCGTTAATAACCGATGCAACCCTAGTATTGATATACATATTAACAAATAAATTTAAATGAATCTTAGAAAATAAACTTAGAAAGATTTTTTTCTTGGGTAAAATCTTTTAATTTTGAGTAATCCCTTCCGATGCATCTCTCCCTCTTTTCGAGTAAAAAAACAATTTTAGACCTAGAATCATTTAAAAATCCCTGCCTGTAAAGGATCCTCAGCGGCAAGCATAGCAGAAGATACCAAAATACAAATCAAAACAGAATTTGTAAAATAAGAATGGTTAATTATTCTATTGCAAAATAATCGGAAAGGATTTGTGTGTGAAAGAAGAAATAAGGAAGAAGCTTTTGGTATTGGCTTTTGTTTACTTTGTCCAGTTAAATGGGAGGCCTTTAAAATTTAAAATTAAATTTAAAATCCTTGGAAAAATAATTTTAGAAAAACGTTTAAAATTCTGAAATAAAATATCCTCAATTATAAAGGAGTATCCAAAGGGCTGGGGGAAAATGGACAAATCTTGAGAGAGGATTGATAAAAAAAAAATTATTTTTCGCCTTAGGCCTTCTAAAATTTTCAAAATTTTTGTCTGTTATGCTAAAGATACCTATATGTACAAAAAATAAAAATAACGCCAAAGGCTTGGCTAAAGGTTTAGCGTTATAGCCATTAGAGATTGTGCTGGGCTTGTATTAAGGCCTGGGTTTTTCCTGTAAACAGAGTCCAGGCCCAGGCATTTTTTGGCCTTCTTGGGTTTTTCCTGGACTACAGGCCCAGGTCAATAAATCAAACCCCAGCGTCCAGGAACAGGTTCAGGCTTTTCAAAAATCTCAATCTCTAATGGCCATATTATAGCCCCCGGGATATACCTCTGCCCAATTATACTATTTTTTTGAATTTTTGTTTAACTATTTCAGAATTTTAAACAAAAAAGACTAGACCCCTCCAAACATTTCAAAAATTATTATTTATTCAAAAAATCTCTACTTACCCTTCTCGGTCTAGCCCCAACAACCACTTCATCATTAACTTCCTCTCCATCCCCACCAACTTCATCATCTCCATCCTCTCCATCCCCCTCCAAATCCAACCCGTCTTCATCTGTTTCTCCATGTTCATACTCCCCTTCCTCGTATTCCCCCTCAACTTCCATTTCATCTTCCTCTCCCGGTTTTGCATTCATTACTTGATCTGCTTCAGCCAAATTATCTACAGCAATAGCCAAGAAAACATTTAATAAAATATAATTTCCGCAAATAAATAGAACAATAAAATATATTGATACTAGCATTCCAAGCTTTAAATTAAAATAAAAAAATTTTTATTGAATTAATTTCTCCAGCTTAAATCGTTAGAAATATGACCTAACATTTTTTTATTCTGATGGACTAGAACTTATATTTATTGAAAAACTCTAGTGAGTGATATTCAAATTTTTGTCCTTAGACACCTCTAGAGAAGCTAATAGCCGGACCTCGTTATAAGCTACCCCAATTAGACCCAATTAGACATGCAATTATTTAAAACACGCTTGTAAAATGTTGCCTAGCCAGTGGGTTGAGAGCTGCTTAGGTAATACCCCAATTTAGGGTATATCCCTGTATAAGATACCCCCAATATTGGATATACCTCTATTTAAGATACGTTTTTAAAAATTAAGTTGCCCATTGGGGAGGAAGGATTGGTTGCCTAAGCGATACCTCTATTTAAGATACACCTACTATAAGATTCAATTTTTTACCTCAAGAGTTAACTTAAAGTACGGCCTTCTTTATAATCCCAAAATCAAAATTTTAAATTAAAAATCAAAAATTCACCGATCCAATCCCTCCATAACTCTCAATTCCATTATACATTACTGTATTCCAATCCTCTCCCGTTAAAATTTGAAAAACTGTAAGTAGTGATTGAGTAAATGTGTCAAAGTTTGCTCGAGGTTTCTAAGGGGGAAAATTTAACTTTTTTTATTTAAGGGGGCCACTCTCTAATAGAGAGGCAGGAATTTAAAAAATTAATTTTACCGGTCTCATAGGGTCATAATTAAAACGTCCACCAAATACTTGCATTCCCAGAAGAGCAAAAATAACAATAAAAAGGAATAAAAGCAAAAGTAGAGAAATTATAGAACGTAGAGAAGAAAGTAAGGAAGTGATTAATTGACTCAATGAAGCCCAATACCTAAAAGAAATTAAAAAATTTAAAAGAAAATTTAATAAAATCAAAAAAATTCTGAGTGGATAAATTTAAGTCGGAACCATTTTTGGCCTTAACTTTATGCCCAAAACATTGGCCATAACTAAAGTTGTGGTCCTTTATCGGGAAAAATTCATTTTCTTGAAAAGTTAGATCCTGATAGATCATTCAAAATTTAAACTCTGGTTAATGTGCGCCTTTAACTGAGTACCCGAACAAAGGGTGAGTACTTCTAAAATTCTTGATTTTATTTGTTCTTTATTTAGTTCTCAATCAATTAAGCTTTATTTGATCTCATTATCTTTAATTTTAATAATGTTATTTGGGTCTAAGTAGGCGTTAATCCTGCGGCCTCCTGCTCTGTTATTAAACAAAAAAATATTATTTACTTTGTAACTTTAAATATTCTCAAAAGACGTGCTGAACGCAAAACAGAAATACCCAAAGGTTTCATAAACTCGAAATAAACCAAAACAAATTCAATAATTGAAGAGATTACAATAAAACAATCAAAACGGTTAAATTGGCTGTTCATATACTGCAAAAAATTGAAAAAAATTAAATGATTTAAAGGTATGTCTCCTCTTTACTACCAACCAAATCCTTCCTAATAAAAATAAAGGCTTTTTGAGGCACTTTCTCTAAAAACCCCTTACAAAGGCTCTCGTCTCTCGCATAAAAAAGAGTCTCTCTCTCATTCCCTATAAGGTTGCTGGCTCCAGTTCAGAAAAAAACCCGTGGTGATAGACATGCTGAACACACAGAAATAACCAAAGGTTTTCGATTCCCTTAAGTTCGTTTATTTGAAGAAAATTTCCTTTCTCTCTCAAGTAGGGTTTAAGTAAAATACCCATAAGAATTAAAAAAAATTTTTTTAAAACCCCCTACTTGTAGCAATCCAAGTGAATACATTTTTAACAACATTTCCATTGTAAACAAAATAACAAAAAATAAATTTGCACCAGTTTGAAAATGATCTAACCAGGGTTCTTGTCCATAATGTTCGGATGTTAAAACAAGTGTATTTAAAAATACTAGAACAATTACTAGCCAATAAAACTAAGGAAAGGGATATTTAAATTTTAAATTTTATTTATATATTCTCTAACCATTTGTGATTTAACCATTCTTCTACATCCTCTCCGACACCTTCTATTTAACCTTTGAAGAAAACGCCATTGAACTATTAAGGCAGAAGACCGTTGTTGTTCTTAAATATATTTTTAAAAAATTACTAGGAAAAACGATATGTGAGTTTAGCACAGGAGAGGCACTATTTTGTGACCCCTTGGCAGGTACTCTAGGCATAATCACCATTAAGTGAATGGCACACTCATTCACCACATACAGGGGCTCTACCGAATAGGATTAACTGATCAGGATATGGATATGAAAAGTCTGGATATACGGGGATTTCCTACAATCCTCCAACCCTACTACCGAATGATCTACCGGGTTGCTGTTTTAACCTCTTCTCTATTAAAGGGCTTAAACCTCCCTAGTAAGCGGTTTAGATGCTGGATCTCTATTTTTCCAAACAATATCATGAATAATTTTAATGACATCCATGGTGGGCGTTTATTAGAATAACTATTCAAAACTTCCTCACCTTCAACTCCCTGCTCTTCTCCATCCAAAACCCCATCTCCGTCCAAATCACCCCCAATTCCACCACCAACACCCCCAACCAAATGTTCATCACCCCCATGTTCATCATCATCATTTAATTGTTCAATATCCTCTGCTTGAGTTATCCAATCCAGATACCCTTTCAAATCCTCCTCCAATTGCTGTTTTTCTCTAAATTTTTGGAATAATCCTCTAGCATTCGCTTTTTCCCTTTCTTTTGAAAATTCTCCAGAGAGAACACCCAAAACGAGGTTTAGGACAAAAAAGGAGCCGAGAATGACTAATGTCACAAAGTATATCCATGGCCATTCACGTCCAACTGCATCGTTTACCTGAAAGAGAAACATTAAATTGATAATTTGGACCTCCTTATAAGAAACACCCAATTTTGCCCACACCTCTATTTAGTCGATATCCTCTATATAAAGCACACTTCATTATAAGATACACTCTATTTAAGACACCTCATTACAAGACACCCAATATTGGATACCCTCTATATGAAGGACCATCATTATAAGAGACGCCCAAGATTAGCTAACACCTCTATTTAAGCGACACCTCTATTTAAGGATATGTTTTTGCAATACCCTCTATTTAAGATACCCTCCTTATAAGGTAGATTTTTCCGACCCTAAGGGGGTACTTTATAATCAACAACCCTCTACTCACCCAATACATAACATCAGTCCATCCTTCCAAAGACACACACTGAAATACCGTTAACATAGCCAAACCAATATTATCAAAATTAGTTATTCCATTATTTGGACCCTTCAAAGAAATATTTTTTAATTTTTAAAAAATTTATTCGTTCCAAACCAGCCATGTTGTGTTAGGTGAACATATCCATTTATTATTTCTGGCGTGTATAGCTGAGGAAAATGAAGACGGTTCGCAATGATATGCACTTGGGGCTAGTCCACAAGTCTTTAAAAAATGAAAATATTTTTTGTGTTTTACATTTGTGTTTTCTCGTATTTTTGTGTTTTTATAATTTTTGTGTTTTGTATTTTCTTATATTTTCGAGTGTGTTTTTGTGTTTTATTTTGTGTTTTTTTTTGTGTTTCATGCATTTTTGTGTCTTTCGTATTTTCTCTATTTTTTGTGTTTCTGTATTTTCGTGTATGTGTTTTACGTATTTTGTGTTTTTAAATTTTTGTGTTTTTAAATTTTTGTGTTTTTAAATTTTTGTGTTTTTTGTGTGTTTTTGTATTTTTTTGTGTTTTTCAAATTTAAACTGACCGAAGGCTCTTTTTGTGCAAATTCTCCATTAGAAGTATCCACACTTTAATAAAAATTAATTTTTTAATTAAATCTTTCAAAATCCCCCCTAACCAAGTCGAATGTAGCTTTCCACAGAACAATTCCAATCCAATAATTGCATAAATTAAAATAACAAATAATACAAGCATTGCAATATGTAATAAAGGTATCATTGCACGTAAGATAGCGTTGAGCACAACTTGTAAACTTGGAACGTTAGAAACTAATCTTAATGGTCGGAGAACACGAAAGGCACGAAGAGCTTTGACGTCAAATGCTTGGACGTTGATTCGAGAAAGTACTGTGCTGATTATTCTGTTTAAAAGGAAAATTCTGGTTTTTAGTGAAATTCTGATGTTTAAGAGATTATGTTTTTAAAATTCTGGTCAAAAAATTTCTGATTTAAGTTCTGACTATTAAAAATTCTGGAGAAATTCTGACTTAAAAATTCTGAATTTTAATAAATTCTGATTTTTAGAAAATTCTGATTTCCAAGAAATTCTGATTTTAAATAATTCTGAAATTTAATAAATTCTGACTTAAAAAATTCTGATTTTTAAAAAAATCTGATTTTTAAAAAAAATTCTGATTTCCAGGAAATTCTTATTTTTAAAAAAAAAATTCTGATTTAATTTATGACTATAAATTCTGCTTAGGTATTCAAAGAATTCTGATTTTTAAAAATTCTGATTTAATAATTCTAAAGAAATTCTGATTTTTTTATAAATAAAATTCCCCACCCAATAACAACAATAATAAAGTCAAGAATATTCCAAGCATTCCTCAAATATGCTCCCGGATGAAGTAAAAATCCAAGTGCGATAACTTTAATTATACATTCAGCAGTAAAAACAACAATAAATAAATATTCCAAATTCTCCAATACTGTATTTTTTGTATCAGAATCTTGCATTGGATAAGGCTGGTAAACGGCAAGGGCTATGCAATTGGCACAAATCATCTTTTTTTTAAAAAAGAGGAAATTAATTTTTTTGGAAGGAAATCTCAATCTTATCACCCAATTTACTTTGATATCACGCTCTCCTATATTCCACTTCTGACATATCCCACACACCCTTAGATACCTCAATCAGAATGTTTCTCATGCTTCTAGCCTATCATAACCTTATATTCATCCAAAGCTCCCATTTACCCAGTTCTGAGAATGCTCTTGGGAACTGAGAAAAAACTTTTTAAAATTCCAACCATAAGTATAAGCCATTCAAAAGGTCTCCATTCAGTGATAGATATGCAAGCTCTCCTTAAAGGATTTTGCACTGTAAGACACAATAGGGAACGTTCATTGCGTTCAACAGGAGTTTGCCTTAAAGGCTTTCTAGATTGCATTCTCCGTCGAGATTCTGGTTGAGTGGTGGCTGCGACGGCTGCCTAAAAATGGAATTTTTTGGCAATTTTTTTAGAAATTTCCCAACAATTTCAACCCCCACCCCAGCAATTACCTGTAATGTTTGTTGCCACAAATCTGCTCTAGCTGCTGATGGTTGTTGCCCCACAATTCCAACAGAAGCAATATTCCCCGCCCCACCAACCGGTTGATTATTTTCCAAATAAGCCTGATTAAAGCCGGGAGGAGGGGGACGTCCATTTGGACTATTATTAACCCCTTCCTCCATTTTTAAATATTGGAAGGAGGTAGGGAATTAATTGCTGCTAATCTGTAGTAAATTTAAAAAATAAATTATGTGGTTAATAAAAATATTAAAAAATTATTGTAATAAAAATGAACGAATTTTTAATTTTATTAAAGGTAATAAAAACTTTTTTGGAAGAAAAAAAGTTTAACTTCCTATAACGCCAGCTTCTGATTTTTATGAATTATTTAGAGCATACCCAGAATAATTTTTGAATAAAAATTGATAGTAAATGTATCTTTGGATATGGGGCTATTTTTAAATAAATAATTTATTACTTAAAACGGATCCAATAAGGATCTATTATCAATAAAATAAAAATAAAGACGAATTAAAGGGTTGATAAAGAATGGCATTAACGGGCAAGTTTAAAATCTGCGGAACTCCTTAGTAAATTAAAAATAAAAAATAATTTTGGGAATTTAGGAGGTTTAACCAAAAATCATAAAAAAATATTTTGGAAGTATCACAAGCAAAATAAAAAATAAAAAATAAAATATTACAATTGTTTTTGGCACTTTTTCTTAAAAAAATACCCTTATCTCTCTCCCCCAGAATTCTCTAACCACTCTCTTATTTAACTCAAGTCTTTTTTAACATGTCCGGGTATTGAGTAAGAGAAAATGAGGGAAAGACTGCCAATATATTTCTCGGCTGGCTTTACGAGGCTAAAATATATGTAGAGAAATGGCGGATCAATAGGCAAGATAAAAGAGGTAAAAGAGAGGGAAATGGAGGAGATATTGGCTTATGCTGGGATTTCCTCCTTTGCATTTATTTTTTGAAAAAGATATTATTGGTATTTTTGTTTTTGCTTGTTGCATATTTTTTGGAAGATTTTTTAAAAAGGAATTGAAAACCTGAAGAAATCAAAAAGAAAATTTTTATGGATTTGAATAACCTGATAACGAACCATCTTTTACTGGAACTGCGAATTTGGTATTTTTGGTACATCCGATAAAAGACCCCGAACTTCCTATTGAGAAGTAATATCCGTTTTCTTGCAAAATGACTTTGGGCCGAGTTATGGCCGTTCAAAGTTTCAGTTTCTGGGAGGTTTGAGTGGGACGAGAAATGAGATACTTCTACAATTACCCTCTCTCTCAAATGATTGCCCTTTCTTAATTAATTTCCCCTCTAACAAGAGGTTGAAACAATAATTATCCAGGGTAATTATTTGAGCATATACGGTAATCGTTTTATTTATTGGTAAGGCTTTATGTCTCCATAAGCAGATTTCTCCACACTTTCTTTGCAAAATCAACCCTTTTCTCGAAAATAAAGGAATGATAAAAAACAAACAAAAAGAAAAATAAATTTGAGGAACGCCAACTTGATACAAAGCTTTGAAGCCAATGAGGACAAAAACAAGAATTGGGGCTTCCTTTTCTTTATTTACTAAGCATGCAAGCACCAAAACTCAATCCATCATAAAGCAAGGGACTTTGTAATTTTCTTGGGGGGAATGAGGGTGGAGATGGATCTCCGTTACTCTTATTTATTGACTTTTGTTAATACTAGTTGCTTTTGTTAATAAAAATTTTTTTGAAAATTAAGTTGACCCTACCGAAAATTAATTTTTGGGATCATAAAGATCAAATAGGGGATTTGACTGTAATTTAAAAAAATTCAACTATTGTAAAGCATATATGTAGCTACATATTTAATTCCTAAGGCTGTGCAGTAGACAGATTGGTGTACTGGCTAACAAACACATCAGTCCGGTCCAGTGCTCTCCCGGAGCCGGCGGAGCTGGAGCCGGAGCCAAGAATTTGTAATGCCCGGAGCCGGAGCCAACAAATGCCAAATACCCAGCACTGGTCCGGTCTACTAAAAGATGCTGGTCCGCTCCCAGCCGCCGAATAAGCTTCGCACTAGCTAAGGAGAAAAATAGCTGAAGCCCGGCTACTTTACTCTTTTCTGTTTGATCAAGAAAAAAATTGTTTTTTCCCTAATAAATTATTAAAATTTAAATGACAGATGAAAATTCAGACTAAACATAAGCTATACCAACCAACGCCTTCTCATTAAAATTGACAAAAAACACGCAAGAAAAAATAATTTTTTTCGCGTCAATGCCATTAGTCTCTTTTTACTTTTAGTGCCAGAAATAATAATCCTTTAAAGAGAATATTAATGAAGGTATTTTATTTCCATTTAAAATTTTAAGAATTAAAAGAAGCCTTGTAAAAGATATTTTTTAGAATAAAAATATTTTTAAATATGTAAGTCGAAAACTATGTCTATTATAAGTCGAAAACCTATGCCCAAAGGCAAAGGTTTAGAACGGGCACAACAACAAAAAGAAATCTAATTTTGAGGGTTTTGAGGGACTTCAAGTAAAGAGAAGTTCATAATGTGGAAAAATTCAATGGATGGAAGATTTAATAAGCACATCATGGACAGTGTTTATAAATTTTAGATTTGCTCGCACTCGTACCACCTCTAATTTCAGCCTCGTAATCGACTTTGTATCAGCCTATTTTTTGCTTGTACTCGTATTTCGTACCTAAGTACGAGTAGGAATTTTGGTACGAGCTTATAAACAGTGATCATGGAAACCGAAGCATCATCCTATCCTAAGTGGGAAATTTTTATTCACACTTATGTTCTTCTGCAAGTATAGAACAAACCTAAAGTTCCCGAAAAAAGTATTAAAGGTTAAAAATATTAGAAGGGCGCTTTAAATAATTTCTTAACTCAACAAATTTTTTTCTAAAGTTCAATTTTATGACACATTAATATTGCGCAATAATTTTTATTATGTAATATATAAAAGTTGCAAATAATCTCTGTTTAATATATGCTTGTTTTTGTCAAAATTTTAGAGGAACAACCATTAGAAATGAAAAAGGAAGTGTAAATTTGTTTTTAAAAATTTTTAGTCCTTTTTAATGAAAATTTTTGTATTTTTAATAAGAACAAAAGGGAAATGAAATTAAAAAAAATAGTCTATACGAACATATGAAAACCAACAAAACAAATGAAAAAAATAAAGAAAAGGACGGAATCTTGACAAAAAAAAGGGGAGAAGAGAAGATAATAATAATAATAAAAATATTAAAAGAATATTTTCTGGCGGCACATAACCGCATGATTTTACTCCTTTTTTTCACAATAAAAGAAAATTTTTTTCTAAAGAAAAGAAGCTACTAATACCCTAATCTTCATTATGAAGTTACTACTAAAAATGAGTTTCTTTTAAAAAATTTAGAAAATAATTTAAAATTTGTTGGTACTAAAATACTTGTTAATAGTACATATTAGTGTACAATCAAACTGATTCCTCGTTTTAGAGTTGAAAGCTTGATTTTAAATAGAAATCGAAAATGGATTTGGACAAAAATTTTGGATAACATTCCTTGAAGGACTATCCAAAACCTAATCTAGATTTTTTAGCTAAACTTAAAGTTATCCTTAAATTTTTATGTCCTTAGTAGGGGTGTCAGTTTCAAACCGAACTGAAAAACCGAAAATTTAGTTCAGTTTCGATTAATCAAAGAACTGAAATCGACAACCCTGTCTCGAGTTGAATGTATTCTCTCCTATCCTCTCTTATTAAATTGTGAAAATTAATAGAAACAGTTAGATAATGTGATCAGTGAATTTATTCAATATAAAAGCAACTTAAAAATGCGAAGATAACGAAATAAAAATTTTTAAAAAAAAAAGAGGTAAATATGTGCCAATATCTCATGGCTACAACTTTTTTTTCTGGATGATTGCTATATAGGAATTGAGGGAATATAAAATAAAGATAAAATATTATAGATATTACTATTTTGCTTATCCTTGTCAATTCTGCACTTTTTGTATGTGATGAATAAAAAAAGGCTTTTAGGGTGGTCAAATAATAAGTGTCAATTTGTTTAAAATGTAAAAATTAAATTTTTTGTCGAGGTTTTTTATGGGCAAAATAAAAGGGATTATTTTTTCTTTAATCCATGCTTTTCTAATAATTTTATTTTCTTTTTTATGGCTATACTTTTGCACACTTCAATTCCCATTGATCACTACCAGCTGAAGCTGCAGCTGAATCAATACTTGATGTTTGAGGTGGAGGAGGCCAAAGACCAGAGGTTGAATTCATTTGTTGTTGTTGTTGCTGTTGGGAGTGAATATCAAAATCGCTGAGCAGTGAAGCTAAACAAAAATAATATTTAGGTGACTTCATAAAAAAATAAAAATTAATCCTAGGACGAGTATAAGGAAGCCCCGCTCAATTTAGAAAAGCCCCTAACTAACCCCTAACAACCAAGATTTAATTTTAAAATTTTAAAATTTACAATTTTCTAATATCTGTTGTTGATGTCCACCAGGCATAGGCCCTCCCGAACTCATTGCAATTGATACTCCACTAGCAGTACTCAAACCAGGAGGTGGTAGCATCATTCCCCCTGCTCCACTTGTTGATGGTGGGAGGTTCATTGCAGAAAAGGCAGTGTTTTCAACACGAGATATTTGTCTTTCGTCTTGTTCTCCGTACTCACAGCCCATCATCAGTGGTTCACCAACTGTGAGAACATCGTGGTGATATTGGCCTGGCGGTGGTACTCCTCCCAAAGGGTGAAACTGGAAAAATTTAGTTTACATTTAATTAAGTTTTAATATATTTACCTGTCCAGGCGGTCCAAGAGGAAATCCACCAGGCCCCATTGGAGGCATTCCTGCTGGGGGTGTCTGTTGGCCAGCAGCAGCCAAATTTGAGTTTGATCCCATGCTCTTTTTTCCTTTAGGTGGGGAACAGTTAGCTGCCATTGAAGAGGAAGGAGTTGTAGCACATCCACTCGTAGCAGCCATTGAAGAATTAGCAACATTAGCTTTTCGTTGTCTCGTCCGTTTCGGTTTAGGTTTTGGTTCTTCTGCAGAAGAGGAAGCATTTGTATTTGCTAAACAAAAAAACATATTTAAAAATTCAGAAATTTAAAAAAAACCTGGAGGTTGCATAGCACCCATAGACGGAGGCGGCATTTGTGGCGGACCCATTCCAGCACCTCCACCCATAATACCCATCATTTGAGGTTGTCCATTAGCTGAGATAAAATTTGCATTATTTTGATTATGTGGAGGTGTTTGCGTATGAGAGCCTGATGCAGCTACAACAGCCATTCTCTCCCTTTCCATTTCTATCCGTTCAGCAACAAGCTGGTGTAACGCATCTTTAGGTGTCTAAACAAAATGAAATTATATAAAAACAGGTAAGACTCTTGGATATTTTGCACGTCAAAAGAGGAAAGTCAGTGTCAAAAATGTCAGTGGTCAGTCAAAAATATGCTCCAGATAAAATTTAATAGCTCGATTGAACCCTAAAAAGACCCCTAAAAATAGTAAAAACCTGATTTGTCTCTTTCACGCGTTCAACAATTGGCTGCATTTGATCCATCATTTGCCACATTTTCATTTCTGACAGTGTTTGCAATGGAAGACCCAAACACGTTGATTTTCTGTCTCCCAATGGTTGAATACCATTTGCATAAAATTCTTGACAAGACCTCAACTCGATGGACCATTCACGGATCCGATAACCACAAGCAGGGTTAAAAGGCGCAAATCTTATGAATAAGCGACATTCAGTTTGCACCTAATTATTAAAAAATTAATTTTGAAAGTAGAAATGAGATTTAAATGAAAAGATGAGAGAAACAAAAAAGTTGAGTTCTAATCAAAATTTTGGATTTTAAGACAAGCAGGGAAATTTTTATAATTCATGAAAATAATGGGTAAAAAGGGCGTATCCAGGGGTTCGATTACGGGGGGGGGGCTAACATTGGAGGCGCGCCAAAATTTCGGCGTTTACTTTTGCGTTCCGAACACAAATTTTTTGCACTTAAATTTTTATTTCTTCAGCCCCCAGACACCTAAATACGTCATTGGTAGGTGAAATGTAAAGACAAGTACATTTAACAAACCTCAAAAGTAATTTATCTAAAAAAAGTAAACCTGTACTTGCAATGGTTTTTCATGACTTGTCCCCATCAAAAGATTTTCACAATTTAACGCACAACAACCAAAAGCTTCTGGAGTTATCCGTATTGGTTCAACAAATTCTTGGGCTGGCGAACGAAGATCAAAACGCAGTTGGTTTATGCCATTTGAAAAAAGTGAGCGGAAGAACCGGGGGATAAAATGTCGAGAAATTGCTAAAAATGAAAATTTTGGAAAAAAACTTGAAAATCTTACTAAATCGCTTGAGTAAAAATCCGCCCTGTTCAGCGGAATATTCTTGCATGTAAAAAGCCATAGATCCTAAGTCGTCAAAGAACTCCTGGGAAAAGGCATCCCACCACTGCTCGTGACTTTCAGATGTTGCCTAATAAATTGAAAAAAATATAAAAAAATTTTTTAATCCATCGTCAAATTTCGATTTTGCCAAAAAAATATTCCGGTTCAACCCTTCCCATGGGAATATTTTCGAAAATAAAATTTGAAGTATAGGTAATTTAAGTATACCTGTTGAAATTGACTATGAAATGAATAAAGCCTCCTATTCATCTCTTGCAGCCGAAATTCAAGAAAAGGAGGTTGAGGAATGCTAGGCGGTGGGAATAACATTCTAAAAGAAAATTTGATTCAAATTTTTTAATTAGAAAATACCTGGGAAACGGGCCAGGAAACATTGGGTGTGGAGGTAGAGGAAGTTGATGAGGCTGTGGAGGCATTTGCTGTGGAGGTGGACCTTGAGGAGTTGATATAGGGCCAGGTTGGTTTGGAGCACCAGAATGATGAGGATGCATTGGCGGGACCATCTAAAATTTATAAAATTGAAATTTTTGATAAAGGAAAATTTTTAAAATTAAAAACCTGAAGGTGAGGTGATTGGACTTGACCAGGGTGAAATTGTTGTCCGCTACTTCCAGGAGGCAAAGGGCCTCCCATTGAGGAAACAGGGGGGCCTTGAACTGATTGAGGCTGTTGCATCATCATTTGCGGAGGAGGTCCTGAAGGTTGCCCATCGCCAAACATAGGCATTGGAGGAACAAAATGTGGTGGCATTCCAGGAGGACCACCACCCTGAGGCGGTCCTTGTTGGTAAAAATCAAAAGGTGGCCCCTAAAGTAACGGAATTAAATTTAAAATAACTTAAAAAATACTTGTGGATTGCAGAAACCAGGCCCTCCCATTCCATTTGGCCCTTCATCAAGCTGTTGAGGACCACCAGCAACACCATTTGGAAGTCCTTGATGTTGAAGATGATGCAACATATGAGGCGGAATTCCATGATGTCCATCCATAGGACCTCCTCCGCCTCCTGGACCACAACCTGGAGGAAATCCGCCTCCAATCATTGCTTGATGAAGAGGAGGTTCAAGCTTCATTCCCCCTCCATCTACTGATGGTGTACTACAAATTGATGGAGTTTCTTTTTTCTTGCGCACACGGGGTTGTTTAACATTAGTAGCTGCATCGCCGTCAACATTCTTTCGCCTAGGCATTTTAAAACAGCAGACTAGGAATGCAAATTAATTATGATCAATATGTAAATATTTCAGCTTATAGTTAGAAGGGGTCTCCACTGACCACCGACTGTCAGATATTTTATTCAGTAATTTTTACAATATCTGAAATTGAAAAAAAATATTAGAGAAAAACACAAAATTTTAAAGAAAAAAATTTCTTGGCAAAATGTTTATTTTTAAGTTTATAGAAATTTTAACCTAAAAATCAATGTCAATGAACAAAAACCTATAATAAGCATAGGTAAAAATGAAAAAAAATCAAACTGGTCAATACATTACTAGTATATAATTGTTCGCATGTATGTGAAGCTGGCAAATTTGAGAAGAGAAGGATACATTTTTCACTATTTTTTTTCTCACATCCCGACAACCGATCGAATATGACTAATCACCGGCATCGAAAGCCCCTTAATAAAACCAGCAGAGCCAAGCAGCAGCAGTCGACCAACTCGCAACAACCACTACCACCATTACAAACCCGCGCCCGAAGTGCGATATTGTAGGGAATAGCATGCGCAAAAGGATGAAAAGTTAGAGATAAGGAAGAGTGAGAGATTATGTATAAAAATGAGTGCGCTATAAAGGAAAAGAAAACAGAGTAAATTCATCTTTCATTCACTCACCGTTCTCTCTCTAACATTAACAGGTTTAGCATTAATAGTGCTATTTTCTTACGCTTTTCCGCTTGTTTTTAGAGCAAAGAGGATCGTAACAAGTTGCTTCTTCAGTTCGCGCGGCATTAAATCCATTGTTAAAGTACGTCAATGTTTTTGGAAGAGGTGACTTTTCGGAAGTTTTTTTCTTCGCACTTTGGAAGGAGTCTTGTACTTTTACTTTCTTTAAATTTTGACGTCAATCTACTGGAGGACAAAAATTTTTGTTTTTAAAAATTAAAAATATAAAGTTCAAAAACATCAAAAATTGAGTCAAAAAGATTGGCATAATTTTTATTTGGAGAGAAAAAGAATAAAGTAAAATTTAAAGAATTATGATTTTAAAATGTTGACAGGATTTATAAAATCTCTTCAATAAAGAATCTTCACAAAAAATCTTCACTAAAATTAAATTGTTATACATCATCATATGTTCGATTTGGCATATTTTCTTTTTGACTTTCGGTAATTACACGTAAAGTATTTTGTTTGACAAAATTTTGTAGGGTTTCGATAAATTCAATCTTTGACTTCATTAATCTATAATGTGCCAGACTGAAAAAAGAGAATTAAAATATAAGTTAAAATTTAATTTTATTAGAGAAGTAAATCAAGTGTTTTGAAAAGAACTGTCGTTAACCCTGTCCTTAAGAACTGCCCCTAACACCCCCCCTTAAGAACAGTCACTAACCCCAAAAAAACTTATATTTGACTTACATTTCCGCACCAAGCTTTTGCTGCTCTTCAATAACTTTCACCAATTCAGTAGATTTTGAAGGAGAAGAATTACTTTTTCGATTCATTAATGAAGCAATTTAAAGTCGAAATTTTAAAATAAATAAGACAAAATTCTAAAAATTAAATAAATAAAAATTTAAATTAAATTTTCTAACAATAGAAAACTCTTTAATTTAATTGCAAAGTTTACTCAAGTTTTTCAAAAAAAATTAATTAAAATTTAAAGCCATTAATCAAAAAAAACTTTCCCATCAGTAAAAAGTAGGTATTTTAATTTATTAATTATGTAAATTACCACTTTGAAATTTTGTGTAGAAAATAGTGTGGAAAAGTAGGAGAGACAGAGAGAAAAAGACAAAAACGTGGTAAGTTTTTAGAAAAGTTTTTAGGGAAGTTTGGGGAGGTTTTAGGGAATATTTTTCTCGTTTTCTTGCAAACCTCGAAAGTTTTATTCTTTTCCCCCAATTTAAATTCCCCAAACAAAACTACACAAACTTTTACATTTTTAAATATTTTATTTTTACTTTAACAACAATTTTTATTTCCTCAATTTACACGTTATTAAATATTTTTTCTTATTTAAAACAATTTTTATTTTCAAAAAGGCATGACTTGCTATGATTTTTGACTGACACAAGGAAGCAAAAAATAAGAGACATAAAAAAGGTTTTTTTCCAAACATATATTTAACTAACGCTGATTATACATTGCAGAGACACCCTTCCCGTCGTCTATTTATTTTAATAAAAATTTAAAAAAAAACTCAGTAAAAATTGACGCTAAAACTCTTATTTACACTGCTAAACGGAAAAGGGGAATAAAATGCGATGTTGAGGTAGAAGACTCCATTCGGCCAATAATTATTAAAACTGATATGAAGCAAAATAGAGGTTTATGTGAAGAAATGGTAAAAATTTTTATTTTTTAATTTAAATAAATTTCAAAGAAATTTCTTTAAAATTTCTTTCCTTTATGTCTTTTGGCATTAAAAAATGAAAAAAAAATAAATTTCTTTTTAGTTTCGCCTTTTGTTAATGGTGGCATTGTATTATCCACTTTCTGTTGGACTTACTTTCTATCAGAAGTGGTTTATTAAGGTATTTATTTTAAATTTGAAAAATTTATTTTTTGGAGATTCTCCGCGGAGGTTTTCCATTTCTGAATTACACATATTGTAATTTTTCAAAAATTAGTTGTAAAATTACACGAATCATATTACACAAAATATAAAGCTTTACATTTGCTAGTTTTGAACGAGTTAAAAATTTTTTTGAGATTCCTAGGCTCCTTTTTGATGTTTAAAAAGGGTTGAAAAATTCCCTGATAATAGCTATTCTCCCCCATTCTTTGCTACTTTGATTTTCCTATTCGTCTTGTTAAACCTTCAAAATATTTTTAAACATTTTATTTTATATAAATTTAAATTTTAACCCCTTTAGCATTATCGACTTCCTTTATTTATTGTTACCGGTCATTATGTAACAAAATATTTGATGGCTTTAGCAATCCGTTCAATTGTTGAATTTTTACAAAAAAATAGACGGGTACGTGTTCCACTTCGTGAACAGTTAAGATGGTTAATGCCAATTGGATTTTGTGCTTCTTTAGATATTGGACTGTCTAATTGGTTTTTTTCCTTTTAATTTATTTTAAATTTTTAAAATTTATTAAAGGTCTTTGGAGTATGTAACAGTTTCATTATATACAATGGCCAAGTCCAGTTCAATTTTGTTTATTGTTGGATTCTCATTATTTCTCAAGTTTGTTTTTCATTTAATTTTGCATCCCTGAAGTTAATCTGGGGAAACTATTAAAATTATTTGGAGGAGTCTGCGGTTTGAAAGTGTATGATCGAAACTTTCATTTTTACTTTTAAACTTTCATTTAATCTTTCCCCAATTTTTTGCCTCTAAAAATGCGAGTCTTGTCCATTAGAAAAATTACTATTAGGTCTATGAAGAAGTCATTTCAGCGAGAACAAGACTCCCATTTTTAAAGGCAAAAAATTGGGGGAAGATTAAATGAAAGTACTAAATGAAAGGACTGATCCGAAACAGGGCATGAACAAAAATATCGATTCTCGTACAACCTCCCTAGTTCAGTCTTTAATTTCTAGTCTCTCCTTTTAATTTTCTAAATATTTTTTCTTCATTTTTCAGACTTGAACGCTGGCATTCCAGTTTGGGCGTGTCTGCATTTTTAATAGCTGTCGGGTTATTTCTTTTTACTTTGCAATCTACACAACTTGATTTTAGAGGTTTTTTAAATTTATTTTTGAAGTTTTTTTAAATTTTTTATAGGACTTGTTCTCGTTGAAATGGCTGCACTTTGTACAGGTTTTAGATGGACAATTTCTCAATTAATTATGCAAGGAGAAGAATGTTCAACTCCTGTGAGGCATCCGCTAGATATGGTTAAAAATTAATTTTAAAAATATTTTTTTGATTTTTCGATTATTTTGATGAAGCAAAATTTTATTATGTAATTAGGTCTTTAAGACACTAATTTTAGGTTTCTAAGAGTTTCAAAGAGATTGTAAATCTAAAATTGTACGGGATTTTTATTTGATTTTTTGAAGAAATTTTATAAAAATTTCTCCATATTTTTAAGATGATCGCTGTCCAACCATGGATGTTCATTGCCATAGTCCCAATTGTAATAGTAGCTGAAGGACCTGAAATGACGTGGGAAGTAATTACTTCATTTCATAATGAATATGAACCTGCACTTGTATTTTCTTTAATTTTTTCTGGTGGAATTTTGGCGTTTTTAATGGAATTTTCTGAGTTTGTTTTTTAGGTTGAAATAAAATTAATTTTAATTTATTTTTAAAGATATCTTCTTTTGGTTAATACTTCTGGTATTACATTGTCAATTGTTGGGATTGTGAAGGTTAATCTTTTTAAATAAGAAATAATAAAATTTGGTGGTTGTTCTATGTCCGTATACGTCTCCTTAAATTATGGATGTAGACGTTTTCTCTGAGATATCTTGGAAAGTCCAACGGAAAGTCTTATGGAACTTTGTGTTCGTCTCGGTAAAAAAAACATTTCCTTGAGGTAAAACTGGAGTCCTAATAGTTCTCAGCTCAAAATATTTTATTTGAGAAAAGGGGGTGAGGATCACTGAGATTTTCCATAAATAATAGGGATCTAGCCGAACCGACCAATCAGCGAAATTGAGAATTTATTCTTTATGTCGGCTAGATCCTTGTCTTTGTCAAGGTCTTCCTATCTAAAAATATCTTTTTCTATTTTTAATAACTTTTAAATTTTCACTTTTAGGAATGCATCAGTCTTCTATTAGCACACCAAATTCACGGTGATCGTCTTTCTGATATAAATATTGTTGGTTTGGTTCTCTGCGTTTTGGGGATGACTTTACACAGCATTACAAAACATACACGTCACAAATCAGCAGTTTTAAGTTCCCCAACCCCTTCAAGATGTAATTCTCAATCTTTGTCTTCTCCTTCCTCCTCACCACAATCTATGGGCATTGGAAGGAGAGGAACTTGTGGAAAAATAAATAATAGTACATCCAAAAAAGTTGTGGAATTGGAAGATAGAAGAAAATTACTTATCCCAGAACAAACAATTATTTAAAAAAAGGCAATTAAAAATACAAGAAAAATATTGTGATTATTTTTTAATTTATTTATTAATATTATTAATTAAACCCTAAGGCTATTAAGAGAAATTAAAAATTTTTTAAAATTAAATTACAAATGTCCGAAACGCTTTTTTCAATTTTTTATTATTCGTGCTGACGTCCAAAAGATCGAAAACCTATTGTTCGCTATCCATCTAACACCTATCCACCTATGTTGGTGAACGGGTACACCCCGATGTACCGCGAGCCCAATGTACCGCCGAGCTATAACTTTGTTCAAAATTGTCGAATCCATGGCGGCCCGGTATGGTTCGATTCAGCTGGTCGAGACGCATCGAATCATACTAGGGCGCCACGGATTCGACAATTTTGAACAAAGTTATAGCTCGGCGGTACATTGGGCTCGCGGTACACTGGCCTGCTCCCGTTGGTGAACACACTTATCCACGTCCAATATTTTATTTGTTGATTTTTTAATTTGATTTTCTCACTGTATTTTCTTAAGGTTTTTAGGTTTCGGTCTTGCGGATTGACCTTTTATTTTTTTTTGTCCCAATTTCTTCCTGTTGTGAAAAAAATTTTCTTTGTAATTATACCAGGTTTATAAAAGAGGGAATGGATTTTTCTAAATTATTTTACAAGAAAACACTAAAAAAATCAATTCCTCCTTTAATCCCTTTTAATTAAATCACTTCGCAAAATTTATTTCAAGTTTTTCTCTTCTTTTACGTCTACTTCCGTTAATTTTTTTTTTTTGTACTTTTTTTTTCTCGTCAGCTTCCTTGATATATTAAAAAGAATAAAATATCGAAGAATTAAAAAAATCTTTTTTGTTCTTTGATCCATTTGTTGACGTTTGTCTTGTCTAAAAAGTACTTTTAAAAGAACAAATTTTATTTTTTTTTGTTGAAATTTTATTTAATAAATAGATCAGAAATTTAGTTAAAATGCTCTCATTATTTTATTTTTAAACCTTAAATGATTTTTAAAATTGTCCCAAAAAATTAAAAAATAATATAGGTATTTTTAAGGCTTCCCCTCTACAAAAATTTTTTTTCGAAATTTCGACTTTAAATTGTAAGGATGATTCACCTAGAACATTTAAAACGCTTAGGCGGGGGTTAAACGACTAAAAGGATAAAAGATGCCCCGGTAGCTCAGTGGTAGAGTTCCTGTATGTGTTGAGCGAAAGCGCCTAAAGCCTCCCTTCTGTCAGGAGGTCGCAGGTTCGAATCCTGCCCGGTGGCTAAACGTTTGCTAAACTCTTTCTAAATTTTGTAGATTTTCTAATTTATTTTAGGGCGCTTTTGATAGATTGACATCTTTTAATATTTTCTTTGGCGTTCTTTGGAGGGTCTTGATTTAATTTAAAAAATTTTTAATTGGTATTTGATCATCGTCTCTATCTTTTGGGTTAACCCTCCCAAACAACAAAGTATGTTTAAATTAGGAAAAAAAAGAATTAAAAATAAAAGTCATGTGCTAAGTGTTTATTTACACATTTTTTTTAAATTTATTATGTATGTAAATTCCTTTAAAAAAACTTGGAGAGAATTTGTTGACTTCCCCTACTACGTCTCCCGTCCCTACATTCGGGTACAGCCCAAATAGGCGCGCGGCCATAACGGCGCAAAGCCATAACTTGCTTCAAGATGTCCGAATCATGCCAAATTTAGTATTAAACGATTCCTCTCATCGAGCTAAAGAGATTGGTACCAAAATTAATAAGGGTCAGAAATTTTTCAGCTAATTATGGTTTTGCGCCGTTATGGCCGCGCGCCTACTTGGGCGTGCCCCCTCCATTCCATCCCCCTCCCTAACTCCAGTTCCTCTTCCATCAACAAAAAATTTATTTATGTAATCGACTCCCCTAAACCAAAAATAAAAAGTTTTTCCTCACCTTTTTCTATTTTTGCTTTGAATTTTCAATTTTATTCACCGCCTTTTACTTGTTAAGCGAGGAAATTTGTGAGGCGATCGGAGACATGTCGCGACACAAATATTCCTCCTTAAAAACGTTCGCGCCTATTTTTAAATATTTTTTTTTATTTTCAAGACTCATTCCTTTCATTAAAAAAAATTATTTACCTATATAAATTGAACAAAGAATTTTTAATTTTAAAAAAATATTTTTACTTAATATTAATTTTTATATTTTTTAGTAAAAAAATTTTTTTTAATTTTTATTTTAATAAAAATATTTTTATTTTCCTTATATTTATTTTTATTTATTTTTTTCTATTTCGATTGGAGTTTCTGTTAATTACTTTTTTTCAATTTTTTCTTGTCAGCTGTTCCTAAAATTAATTTTTCTCTTTAACATTTAACAAAACTAATATTTTTAATACCCTTAAAAGCGGTTTATTTAACTTTGAAAAATTGCCGTGTTTAAAAAAGAGATATTGATAAATTTATCTCTTTAAATTATTTGAGGCACAAAAGGCCTTAAAAATTGATTTTTATTTATTTACTCAAAAATACCCTTTCAATTTTTTTGTCTCTCTCTTCTTTATTATACTCTCTATTTTCATCATACTCTCTAATATAACTAATTTGGGGACACGCCGGCGCGCGGCCATAACGGCGCAAAGCCATAACTAGCTGAAAAATTTCTGGCCCTTATCAATTTTGCTACCAATCTCTTCAGCTCGATGAGAGGAATCGTTTAATACTAAATTTGGAAAGATTCGTAAATGTTAAAGCAAGTTATGACTTTGCGCCGTTATGGCTGCGCGCCGTTTTGTCCCTTTATATTCTCCCTTTATATTTTCCCTTTACATTTTATCTGTTTACTAGAAAGTTTTTGCCAACAAAAAAAATTTTTTGGGTTTTTCTTCCTTTTTTAAGACTTCAAAAGACTTTAAAACAAAAACTTCCCTTCTTTTCTTTTAAACCTTCCCTCCCTCTCATTTACATAAAAATTCTATTTTTTACCCAGTCTAACCGGATATACACACAAAACAATTTTTTTCCTTTTTTTCAGACACACACAAATACACACATTTTACTTGACAGCAAACAGAAAAAATAAATAAATTTATTTGAGGATATTCCCTTTCCTTTTCTCTTTTTTGACAACAAGAGTCAAAGCACTTTTACTTGAAATAAGCTAAACGAGAAATAAAAGAAAAAAGGTTTTGGGGGCAGACATTTTACAACAAACACAAAAATGATTTATAATTCTTTATAGCTTATTTTGGGAGGATTTTCTTCTTTTTTTATTGATTTTTCAAGAAAATTAGCTTCAAAGAATTTCTCCAAAAAATCCCCCTTCCCCCTCTAAATGTGCACAAAAGACAACACAAATTCAAAACAAAATGGATCTTCTTCAACTTCAAAGGAAACAGAAGAATATCCTAAACCTTCGTCTTCCAAAGATTATAATAAGGAGGCTGGAAAGGCTGCAAATGGGGATAGAATAAGAGACAAAGACGGGTACAGACAGAGAGCGGTTAGTTTTGATTTTTTTTTGGATTTTTTTGATTAATGAAAATTTGGGAAAAAGTTTTTTTTATTTTATAAAAATTAAAAGAAAATTTTATCCCGAAATTTACCGAAAAATTAATATTTTTAAGTACTTTTAATTTTTGCGGACAAATTATATTTGCGGAAAATATTTGCGGACAAAATATTTTTGCAGACAAATTAAATAAATAAATTTTTTTTATTTTTTCTATTCGGTCTGTCCCATATTTTTTAATTTAACGTTTGTAACGTGTTTGTTTATAATTGTGGGCCAATATTTTTGAGACTAATAAAAAATAATTAGCACCTAAATGCTAATAATCGATTTTGTCCGCAAGTATATTTTCTGCAAAAATTTAAAAAATTTTCAATTTTTTTTCAAAAATTTTTTTCGATAATCCAAAATAAAATTTTCTGTCAAAAACTGTAGAGGAACACTTCTCTTTATTCTAAAGGCTGCTTTCTGTCTACGATTATCTTCAAATGATTGCGATAACCAAAATATTATTATTGATGAATTTGGCAATATTCAAAGTGTTAAAGCCCCTCTAGAAGTTCTTTTGGTTAGCGGAAGGAGGGATGGAAGTGCTGAAAATTATTGGGTATTGCCCGGGGGAGGTGTTGAATTGAAGGTTTTTTTTGAATTTTTTGGATGACATTTTATCCCATTTTTTAAAATTTTTTAGGAAAGTACAGAAGAAGCTGTTGTTCGCGAATTAAGGGAAGAGGCTGGAATACAGGGCCAAGTGTTATTCCAAATTGGAAAATTTATTGTAAGAATGATTTTTTATTTTAAATTTTTTGGAAAGATGTTTAAAAGTGGATGGGCTAATGAACGAAGGTTTTGAGATTTTTCCAAAGGAAATCTTTGGGGCTATCACTAGGGTTGGACAAAATATGCACGCAAAATCGCCAAATATGCGCATATATATGCACCGAAAAAGCCCAAATTTTTTGAAATATGCACCAAATATGCGCAAATAATAGTGAAAATGTTCTTTAAAAATCACTATTTTAAGTAAAAAACACAAATTTAGCCTTTAAAATTGCAATTTAAAAGCACTTTATAGAGATTTATTGATTTTGAAAAAAAATTTTTAAATTTCTTGAAAAATTTTAGGAAAAAATTTTCCAAAAAAACTTTTCGAAAAATTTTTTTCAAAAAATTTTTACAAAAAAATTTTTTGCCGAAAAAAATCCAAAATTTTTAAAAATTTGCCTAATTTTTACTAAAATTTATCAAAAAATGCCGAAATATGGACCAAAATTTGCCAAAATATGCACCAATATGCAAATATGCACGTTAGGGCCGAAATATGCAAATATATGCATTAAGAACCGGGTCTTAAAGTGCTCGGACCAATGTAAAAACACCATTTTTGGGCTCCCCACATCAAGGCATATCCGCACACAAAACATGCATTTGCATGTTTTGTCCAACCCTAGTTATCACACTAGTTTGCTCTGTGACACTACATTATTTAAATTTTTTTGTAATAAAATGATTAGATGCCGGACTGAAACAGTCATGTGAGTATCGAGATCGTTCTCGATAACCGAGAGTTTTGTTCGAAACTCGTTCTGGGGCCGGTCTCTAAGTGAGCCTAAAAATCTATTCTGGCCTTCTTGGATATTCTCAATTTTCTAAGACCATTATCCCTTACCTTGTAATATTATTTTTCGGATTGTTTAAAAAAAATAGAGACAGATTATTTTTCAGTACTTTTGGGAACCCCATAGGATTTAGTGAAATTTATTCAATTATTTTCAGGACGACCAACGTTTTCACCACACAACACTTTATGCTTTGAGCGTTCTAAAAACTTTTGATGAATGGGAAAATTGTGAAAATGGAAGGGAACGTCGTTGGATGAATTTAGAAGAAGCTAGGCGTTGTGTTAAACCTAATCAATTGGCAATGTTGGAACAAAGCATTACAGCGTTTGTTTTTTTTTTGAGATTTTTTGGGACTATATACTATTTGTATTAACTAAGCTTGAACGACAAGGATCCAAGAAAGCCCAGATATCCGAAAATTTCTGTTCGGATATCGGGATTTCTCAGGATCCGCCAGCGACTCAACCGCTCCAAAAGTCGGAAACTTTTAACCCCTTATGACTTTTCGAAATGGGGGTCAGGGGAAGAAAAGTCAGAAAATTCCAATGGATATCGACCACGCTCTACACGATAGTATACATACTTTTTATTTGAAATTTTTGGTCACAGTTTGAAACGTTCCCTTGTATTAACGTTTTGGGGTACTTAGGTAATAGTGTCGTTCGGACCTTTTTTTATACGGTTTAATGGTGGGGTTTTATTGGATCCGATTTGTCTTTTTTTAATAAGAAATCCATATATTCTGAACAATCATTGTAGGAATCATTATAAAAAATTTATACAAAAATGGGATCAAATGTCCTCTCTTTTGTTCCTTTAAAAATAAATTAAAAAAATAATTTTTTTAAGAGTTGAAGAAAAATGGTTGTCTTGTGTTCTCACATTGCATCGAAAAAAATGTTTTAATATTTCTCCAAATTTAATTTTAACAATTTTGGGAGAAACAAAAAATAATTTAAATGAAAATTATTTAATTAATTCAGCGCAAAATAATAATAATAATACTAAATTTTGACTAAAAAATATTTTTTTGTTTTATATTTTTTATTTTGTATTTAGCATTCAAAAAAGGGAATTTTATATAGCTTTTTAAATATTCGAAAAAAAATAATTGTGAGAGTTCTGTCCGCAACTTTTTTTCTGTCCGCAAGTCTTATCCGCAAAAAATTTTTTTGTCCGCAAAAAATTTTTTTGTCCGCAAAAAATTTTTCTCGGATGCTAAATAGTTAATAATTATTTTTTTAGAATTTTATTTTTATTATTTTCCTCTTTAATCTGTTTAGTCATTTAAATTGACGAAAAAAAAATAAAAAAAATTTTTTTAAAAATAAATTTATTTTTAAACACCTCTTTGCATAAAATATCTGGGCATTTTTTTCTTTAAAAATCTTGTCTGCTTTCTTAAAAACGGAAAAAAAAATTTTTAAATAAAAATTAAAAAATTTCCGCAAATTTTTGTCCGCAAAAGAGAATTTCCTATTTTTTTCTTTTTATTTTGACCATTTAATATTTTACTGTTTTTTGTTTTTTATTGGATTAAAAATTTAATTTCTTTATTTTTTTGCTTCTTTTCAATCAAATTAAATTAATTTTTAAAATAATTGTGGATAAATTTAAGAAATATTTTTTTATTTTTAATAGATTAATGAAGTTATTAAATTATAGTAATATTTGGCAATCCTTGAGAAGATACAATTCTGTTAAACTATTGTTGGTTGTTGTCAATAATAATTGTGGTCAGGTTTAAATTAATTTTTTTGGGGAAAGGAAAGGGTTGGAGGTGAAGGGTGAGAAAGATTTCTTAAATATTTTTACCATTAGAGTCGACTTTAAAAACAATTTTCCTTGATAATTTATTTTTTTAAGGCTAGTCCTTTTACAATTTTCTATCATTTTTAAAGTTCGAAAAAATAATTGTTCGGCCTTTCCGCAACTTTTATCAGCAAAAAATTTTGTTGGATGCTAAATAGTAATAATTATTTTTTAGAGTTTTATTTTTTCTTTAATCTCTTTAGTCATTCAAATTGACGAAAAAATTAAAAAAAAAAAATAAATTTATATAAATCGACTGTGGAACTCCAATTGAAATTCCAATAAAAGTTGCGGACATCCGCAACTTTTCTTAACACTCCTCAATTCTCTCAACCTTTTCTAAATATCAATTTTTATTTTTTTAAAGGATATGCCTCTTCTCTTCCAAAATCACATCCAACCTTCAATTTAATTCAAAATAAAAACTTTTCCTTCTCTCCAATTAGAGCAGCATTGCCAGAAAGGGATGAAGATGGACTTCCAATTGACTACAAAACTAGTAAATTTACAATTACAAGCAAAAGATTGGATCAACTTTTGGCTAAAGTTCTGGGTGTTAGCAGAACGTTTGTTTATTTTTTGAAGTTTATGTTAGGCATTTTGGTGGGAAAGAGACTAGGGAAGGGGAGAGGTTCAACTTGTTAGTAGAGGGAAGGGAATATTTTTATGAAGAGGGGGATATTGGAATTGGGGTGGATTGAAATTAGGTGGGAATTTTGATCTTCTAAAAAATTTCCAAGTTCCAATATTCTAGCTTATTCCGACTCTCGATTTCCGTTACCTTCAGATCTTTATTATGTATATCTCAATTCTAACAGCGAAAAGGATTGAGGGAGTAAATGTATCAAGTTATTAGAAAGGGAGGTGAAGGCAAACTGAGATCAGTGAAATTCTGCTGGTCCTTAGGGACGGAAAAAGTGTACACGATCTAATTCTAATTTTATTTCTTTCTCTTTTTAGTTCATTGGAAAAAGTAATTTTACAAGGCTCTGTTCGCGTCAATGAAGAAATAATTATAAGAAGAGCACATGAGGTTTTCTAAAAAAATTTTTTTTATCAAATAAAAAATTCGATAGATTGATGAAGATGACGATATTGAAGTATTTATTCAACCTTTAGAAGGAAATGATAAATTGGCGATTGCACAACGTATACTTGTGATTGGGAATGAATTTGAAGGTAAATAATTTATTTAAATGTTGGGAGATTTATTTCGAAAAATTCAAAGCAGCCCTTTAGTCTAGTGGTTAGGGAGCTGGGCTTTTTAGTGGATAGGTGGAGGGTTCAATTCTCGAGGAAGGAAAAACATTTTTTCTTCTTTCAGATATTGACAATAAAAAAATAAAAAATTCTTTCTGGCTTAAAAATAAATTTTTTTAATCTCTCAATATCCTTTAAAAATCTCAAAACCTCTTGAGAATTTATTTTTTAAAAATTTACAGAAGAAACTGGATATCATTACAAAATACGTTTTTGGCGAGAATATGTGACAGATAATTGGAAACAAGGTTTGAGGGAAACAAAAGAGGAGGAAGAAGAAGGTGTCTAAATTTTAAATATTTTATTTATATTTTCAAAATATTACACAAACATTTTTTTGTTACAAAATTAAATTTAAATATTTAATAGACAATTTTGTAATTAATTAACAAATTATCTATTTATTATTTTAATTATTTAGGAAGTAGTGCAGTGGACAAAGTTTATTTTATCATACAATCTATTTTTCTATTCTTAAACTTTTTTCAACCTATTGACTAGCAAAAATTTTGGTTCTAAAGTCCACTGCACTTTTAATCAAAAATTCAGGTTCGGAAAGAAATTAGAGATCGTGATGGACCTTGGGCAAGGGCTGGACTTTTTACGCCCCTAATCTTATCCATACAAGCCTTTCAAATCAGGCCAAGGATTTTTAAAAGATCACAATCTCTGAAAGAAACAATAAAAAATTTCTGTGACATACAAAAAGTCAAAATCATTTTCTCACTCTTTCCTAAATAAACAAAAAAATTCTTTTAAAATAATTTCTTTCACAAATCATTATTAATTCTATCATTAAGAGATTCCTTATACCGCCAAGAGTCACCTATTTTTTCGAAGAAACGTGTTTTCCATTGAATTCCTTCTTTGTCCCTTTGAATTTTTTCATCCCTTTGACGTTGTTCTATCCAACGTTTTGCTTAAAAAGATAATTAAAAAAAAATTCTTTTTCTATGAAATAGAAGATAGAATTCTTTAAAAAAATAAAGAATAAAATTTAAAAAATTGCCGGTACCCCTTGTAAATTAAAAAAAAATTCCCCAAATTTGAAAAAAATAAAGGATTCTTTTTTAGTTGATGAAATGTGGATGGAGTCAGGGAAGACACAAAAAAATAATTTCGAAAATAAGACAAAACCGAATCTTAACGAAAAAAAAACAAAAAAAACCTTCAAAATATTTTTAAAAATATTATAAGTAAATACCAGGGCTGGGCTTATTTCGCACTTTCGCGTTCTCGCATTTTTCAACGCGAAAAGTTTCGCATTTCGCTTTTTATTTTTAGATTTCGCCCCCTTCATAATATTTTTATTCCAAAAATCCCCCTAAAAAACAACCTTGTGTTGCCACATCAATATTATCACGAAACAAAGCCAAAGTAACATGCCTCCACAATCTACGGCTTTCTCTTTCTTCTTGTTTCATAACTGGAATACATTCCTTTAACAAAATAAAATTTTTTCCTTCCCTAAAAATCTTCAAAAAAAACCTTATTAACATCTGCTTTAGCCAAAACATTTGTAAATAATTGATAATCTCCCCCCTCTCCTTTTTTAATATAAATTTGGGAATTCCATTCTCCTTTTAATTGAATTATTGGTTTTTTAGAAGAATGACCATAAAAGACATTTCCTTGGATTTGATGAGCTTTTCCACGAAATATTGGCTTTGTTATAAATTCAATTTCGGCTCTATATTGAGTTTTTTCACAATGAATTTCGACCTTAAAATAAATTTTTTAAAATTATTTTTAGAGAAAAACAAACTTTTCCTCCCAATTCAATCCAAGGAGTTGACATAATAGACCGGCCATAAGCACTTGGAAAAGTTACCACATATTGCTCTCCATATTTATGTAAAGTAACTGTTCCAGAACCGATGTGATGAACACCTAAAAGTAGACAAATTTTAATTTTAGAAATTAAAAAGGGAAATTATTCTAGTCTGATGATCCCAAAAAGTTTGGATTTTACAAAAAAGACCGTGACAATTTATCCCAAAAAATTCAATTTACTATTAAAAATAGAAAAGGAATCAGAGATGATCCTAATTTGATTCAAAACTTTTTACAAAACTAATAAGCGACATTTGATCCAAACCAGGGATTATTTCAAGATTTTCTTCGGATCGGGTTTCGGGAAACTCGTGATATCCCCGGTCTCAACAATTTCAAAGTAAAGAACCAAATAAAAATTCAATTAAAAAACAAACCAATAGAAAGCCCAAGAAAAGACGATTTTGTGTAAATATAACCATTAAATGAAACACCCGCTTCTGGATGTTCTGCATAAAAAGCAGATATTGGTGGGTGATGACTGACTTGTTCAGCAATAAAAGTGACCTTTTTTAAAAAAAGATTAAACAAAAATCTCTTTAAGAATAAAACCTGATTCGTTCCAGTCCCAGGGAATGGCCCCTTTTTCGTTTTTTGTTCACTCGGGACAGTTCCAGGCAACGTCCAACGACAACGAAAAGTTTCTCCAAGAATTGGGTTAAATGGCTTTTTGGCAACCCCACTTTTACGTGCCGGATAAAAAGAATTTAAATAATATTCGACAACAGCTAAAAAGCGTGATTCTGGAGTATTTAAATTTATAGCGCCGATAAAGTCGTCTGGATGAGCTGAAAATTTTATAAAATTAATAAAAATTGAAAAAAACAAACCAAAAAATTCAGAATACATTTCCAAAAGAGAACGACGTTCTAAAATAAATGTTGGCAATGTAACTTTACTTAGGTCCATTCCGATGCTGACCTTTAAAACAAAAAATTTTTAATTATTAAAAAGTGTGTGTTCTTAAATTCAGAAAATCAAAAGAAAAATTGGAAAAAACGAAGGAAAATGCCTGAACATATAAAAATACAAAAAATAAAAATGTCAAAAATTATGTAAAAGTAACAAAATCCCTTATTAAAGTAACAAAATCCTTTCATTTTCTCCTACAAAACGGAAAATGAGAGAAATTGTTAAATTCCCGAAGTTGATCTATATTGAAAGAAAATTAAAAAAAATACCAATTAAACAAGGAATCAAAATTTCCTGTTCATTTGCTTAAAAATGGGGGAAAATCTAAAAAAATCTGGTTAGATGACAGTTGATCCCAAGAATCAATTAATTCCAAAAAATTCAATTAAAAAACAAAAAAACAAACCTGAGACAGCAAATGCATCAAAACACTTCCATGTTGTTTATTTATATCCCCAACATCATGCTCGTCTGTATTATTATATATTGCATCATAATTTTCACATTTTGCATCGCCCCCACTCCAATCGGGGTCTGATGTTGTTAAAGTCTCTGTTCCATCCAAACTAATTCTTTTAAGCGAAGTTTGGGACAATCTATGACTTTTATGATGAGAAGAACCACTAGTATTCATAACTGTTGAACCAGCAGGTGATGACCCCCCTCTTTCATTTTCTTGTAAAATTTTGGATCTAATTGAACCCTCTTCATTTTTAGCATCAAAAAATTCATCATCGCTACTAGAGAAGCTAACCATTTGATTTACATCGTCCAAAGTTATTTCTTCCTAAAAAATTTTTTTAACTTTTAAGAGGCTCAACGAGTTAAGATGCTCAAGTCAATTGTTTGTAACAATAAACTTACAAACAATTGACTTGAGTTTGCGACAATCTGTGACTTTTATGATGGGAAAAACACAATAACTAAGAATATACCCAAAATTTTGAAGCGTATAATGAGACAGATAAACACAGAGTAAGGTTATCCTTTATGTGTTGGTTTCCTTTTTATCAAAAATTGAAGACCTTAAACCCTCAGGATTACGAAAATTTTTCATATAAAATCATGAAAGGAAGGGGTGACAAATGATCCCAGTATATTTTTAAATTTTCAAAAATATGAAAAATTTAAGTGGAAATTCGTCTACACTCTTAATAAAAGCTCCTTAATTTATTTTATTAAAAATAAATTTACTTTTGTCTCGTCTTCTCGCCCATTCGTCTCTGTATCGTTCATTTCCAAATTTTGTGTTTGATCAAAACCCAAATCTCTCTGCACTTGTTGAAGTAAAATAAGCGAATGGTCAACTGTGCTTTGTAGTCGTTTTGCTGTCATCAAAATTTCAGATAATATTTTCTTTCGTTTATGATCTGCTTTTTCCGAATCCTTGTTGAGTTGTTGCTCCAAATTTCTGGTCTATTTTTCTTTATTTAAATTTTCTTTAAAATTCAAAAAACCTGTTCTAGCAACATTTGTGACTGATTCTCAGCAGTCGTAACTCTTTTATGTAAATCTAGGACTGGATCCTCTTGTGGAGGTTTGTAATAGCCACACTTCTCGTGAATTACTCGTTCCAAAGCACGAACCCAAGAATTGCGTTCAAGTTTACTCTTTCCCTAAATTTAAAAAAATATTGCTAATAGAGTTAAAAAATATTTGACAAGCTCTTAAAAGCATGAAATTACTACGAATTCGGGACTATAATTAAGTCAGCCCTGTATTAGAGATCGAGATTTTTGAAAAGCCTTTTCTTTGGTTACGGGTTTGATTTATTGACCTGGGCCAGATCATGGGCCTGTAGTCCAGGAAAAACCCAGGAAGGACAAAAAATGCCTGGGCCTGGACTCTGGTTACAGGAAAAATCCAGGCCTTTGTCCAGATCCAACTCGATCTCCAAACCTCAAAACAATATTTTTTCAAAGTCCATGTGGACTTGTTTTAAAAATCAACAGGTTTTTACATTGGAAAAATATCTGAAAAAGGTTTTCCCGAGCCCAGACAACAATCAAGATTTTCGAATCAACAAAAAAATAACCTGAAGATGAAAAGTTTTTCCATCAACAGCAACCGTAAATAACGTATCATTCTCCTCATCAATACCTAAAGCAGCACCTCGAAGTCTTATACAACCACGCTGCTGTCCTCGTGCCATTTTCTCTTTAGAACTAGAAAAAAGAATTTTTTGGAAAATTTAAAAAAATTAATCTTAACGTGTAGTAGCAAAGAACGTCATCATTAAGAACAAAATAACGATGTTGCCAACCATGCATAACATTTGTCCATTTGGATAAGGTTCCCTCCATATCTAAAATATAATATTTTTGATTAAAAAATATCAAGAAAAAAAGATGAAATAAGAAAAAAAAACAAGAGGGAACGATATTAGTAACTCTATGAGTATCAGACTCTAAAGGCACTTTTTCGTTAAAGTTTCTTAACGGAGGAGGATATCTAAGTCATGCTATTTCAATAGCTAGCCTTATTTTGCACAAAACTTTGTTGATTGTTCTTTTATCATAGCAAAGCTGTAGCCTTGATTTTAATTTTTTCAACAGGCTAACTGAAATTCTCAGGACTAAGATGTCTCTTCTAATTTTTTAAAATTATTTTTGGCAAAATGTAATTTTTAATTTTTTCTGAAAAATACAAGGAAATAGTGTAGAAAATTAAGAAGTGTTAATAGATGGAAAGGAAAAACATGTGTTTTGTTTGTATTTTTGTTGTATTTTATTTGTTTGTGTTTTCATATTTAATTATATTTTTAAAGATTCCTTCCTCAAATTTTGAATGAATTTTATCTCGGAAAAGGAGATAGTTAAAAAGAGAGAGGAAAATGGTGATGAAGAAGGCAATTCTGATCAACAACCTGATTATCGCCCTTTATATGAACGTTTAAAAGAAGTGAGGGATAAAAAACAACTCGAATGGGAAGAAGAACACACTCTAAGTTTGTTGTGTTTCTTTAGTAATTTTTAAATTTAAATTTATTCAGAAAATCAGTTCAGCGTCACTCGTGGAATTGATGAAGGCGATGCTGATTTTCTTGAACAAGTAGATAGAGTTAGAACAGAACAAGAAGTTAAAAAAAGGAAAGAAGAATTGGAACTTGTGAAAATGGCAAAACAACAAAACTGTTTTATCCCGCTTGAACAACAACCTCCACTTCTTGAACGCCCACAAAAGCCAGTTACGAGTAACAAAAGTGCAAATAAACAAGCGAGTCTTGTGTCTTCTCTGATTAGAAAGAGGTTTTTTAGCTTTAATTTGATTTTAAAATTATTTTCGACTTTTTAAGGTCCCATTCTAGAACAAGTACAGAAGACGAAGGATGTAATCAAAAAATTAAAAAGAATTCCTTTGCTTCAGATGACTCTTCACAAGGAAGTACTTCAACTGCTACTTCGTTTAATGAGTGTTTACTGAAAAAGAACGAAGAAAATCTTTCTAAACCTTCAAAAGGACTAATTTCGTCAGTTTTGGACTACTCTGACACGAGGTTATTTTGTTTTGTTCAATGAATAATTTTTTTATATTTCTTCAGCGATGAGGAAGATGAAGAGAAGATTGGTAGAAAAATTGAAGAGGAAACAACAAATTGCCAATTGCTTAAAAATTCTCCACAAAATAGGAAGACTAATTAAATTATTGCTCAAATTTTACTAGAAAACATAATTGTCTATATTATTGAAATTCGATGTAAAAATTTTATTTTAACAAATCTATCGAGCAAACAAGAAGGTATTTTTATTTATTACTACATACAAAAAAGGCAATTATCATGGAAAACGATATTATTGAGAAGAATACAAAAAGCAAACAAAATATTAGCCTTTCATCAGCAATTCAAGCCTTCCATCAGCTCATATTGAAAATAATCAACAACAGAATAATGGCATTATCAGGTTTCTTTCTTTTCTTCGGTTGGACCAATCAAACGGTGGATGAGGGCTGCAGCGTCTCTTTTTTGCCACCCGCCGAACCATCTATCGAAACTAGTCGTAGTCGAGTTTGTCGGCATAATCCCGCTTTTTATGTAGTTCAAAAAGACTAATTTAGACTTTTAGACTGCACCGCTTGCGTTTTGCAATTCTTTTGACCATAAGACGGAGCCATTCGTAATCCATTTTATCCACATATTCCTTCCTGGCTAAATAACTCATAATTTGCCGCAGTTCTGAAAACTGAAAAAACAAAAATAAATTATTTAACATTTGTTCGAAAAACCTCTTGTCCCGGAAACAGTGTTTCAGTATTTTTGAACACCTCTTCCTTCATTTCAGCAACCACTTCCACATTTGTTTCGTACCTCCAAGTAACATTTGCTCTAAGGATGATGTCAGCCAACGCATAAAGCCAACACTCAACGTCGTCCTTAAAGCCCGATTCGACTCCACGATGCATTGCACGGGAAGCAAATTTAATCGTCCCTTTGAATAGGACCTGTAAAATCAAAAAAAAATTTTTTCTAAATTAAATAAGGAAATCGAACTAGCCTTAGTTCTTGGGATTTCTAGCTTCCCATCATCTCCAACAATCTTCCTGGCATTTCCGTAGTCAATTATATGGACGATATTTTGAGAGCTGGTTTTTGAAATGCCCAGGATGTAGTTAGAAGGCTTAATATCTCTGTGTACAAAGCCTAAATCATGGAGATGCTTTATTGACTCTAGCATTTGGATTCCACAATAAAGTCCAGAATTGATGCTGAAATAATAAATTTTATTAGGATAAACCCTCCCCCATTTTAGACCTAAGGATTTTCTTGGGCTGTTGAGCCTTGATAGCAGCAAGAGAGTCGCCTAAAAGCGAGATAACAAGAAACTGATGTTGGGGATTCAATACTTCGGTCATACAGAACAGGAAAGTGTTGCTGTTGTTCCTTTGATCCACGAGAAGCAGCTTGCAAAACTTTAAGTTCGATTTGAAGTTAGAGTCAAATAAACTAACTTCAAATCGAACTTAAAGTTTTGCAGATAAACTAACTTCAAATCGAACTTAAAGTTTTGCAAGCTGCTTCTCGTGGATCAAAGGAACAACAGCAACACTTTCCTGTTCTGTATGACCGAAGTATTGAATCCCCAACATCAGTTTCTTGTTATCTCGCTTTTAGGCGACTCTCTTGCTGCTATCAAGGCTCAACAGCCCAAGAAAATCCTTAGGTCTAAAATGGGGGAGGGTTTATCCTAATAAAATTTATTATTTCAGCATCAATTCTGGACTTTATTGTGGAATCCAAATGCTAGAGTCAATAAAGCATCTCCATGATTTAGGCTTTGTACACAGAGATATTAAGCCTTCTAACTACATCCTGGGCATTTCAAAAACCAGCTCTCAAAATATCGTCCATATAATTGACTACGGAAATGCCAGGAAGATTGTTGGAGATGATGGGAAGCTAGAAATCCCAAGAACTAAGGCTAGTTCGATTTCCTTATTTAATTTAGAAAAAATTTTTTTTTGATTTTACAGGTCCTATTCAAAGGGACGATTAAATTTGCTTCCCGTGCAATGCATCGTGGAGTCGAATCGGGCTTTAAGGACGACGTTGAGTGTTGGCTTTATGCGTTGGCTGACATCATCCTTAGAGCAAATGTTACTTGGAGGTACGAAACAAATGTGGAAGTGGTTGCTGAAATGAAGGAAGAGGTGTTCAAAAATACTGAAACACTGTTTCCGGGACAAGAGGTTTTTCGAACAAATGTTAAATAATTTATTTTTGTTTTTTCAGTTTTCAGAACTGCGGCAAATTATGAGTTATTTAGCCAGGAAGGAATATGTGGATAAAATGGATTACGAATGGCTCCGTCTTATGGTCAAAAGAATTGCAAAACGCAAGCGGTGCAGTCTAAAAGTCTAAATTAGTCTTTTTGAACTACATAAAAAGCGGGATTATGCCGACAAACTCGACTACGACTAGTTTCGATAGATGGTTCGGCGGGTGGCAAAAAAGAGACGCTGCAGCCCTCATCCACCGTTTGATTGGTCCAACCGAAGAAAAGAAAGAAACCTGATAATGCCATTATTCTGTTGTTGATTATTTTCAATATGAGCTGATGGAAGGCTTGAATTGCTAATGAAGGCTAATATTTTGCTTTTTGTGTTGTTCTCAATAATATCGTTTTCCATGATAATTGCCTTTTTTGTATGTAATAAATAAAAATATCTTCTTGTTTGCTCGATAGATTTTCATTTAAAAAATAAAAATTAATAGTTTTTGTAGATAAAATGATTTATGAAAAAAAAACTCTGACAGTTCTAGTAATTTTAATGAGATGTCCAATCTCAAATATAATTTTTTAATATACACTTTTTGCTAAATTTTAATTTAAAATTTTGTTAGAATTTTTTTAAATGGCTGGTTCAATAATACTTAATAATAATAATACTTCAATAATAATAATAATACTTCAATAATACTTCAGAAATCTTAAAAATGAAGATATTTCACTCCCTTCATCCTCATTAGTAGCCTTACATTATAATGCGATCCCAGAGATTAGAATTAAAAAAGAAATAATAGCAGCATTCTTCTCCTTGGAACTTGAATAATTGACAGCATTCTTCACCTTGGAACTTGAATAATTGGATGAAGAGTATGTTAATAGAACCTCTGTTTTGCGAATAAATTTTTTTAAAAAATATTTTTAAACTCCCTTTATAAGAGACTTATGTGGATAGATAGATTAATTAGATGTCTCCAAAAAGTCTCTATTATCGAGAGTCAGTTTATTGGATAGTCCAACTATCGAAAGTGCTATCGAGTCAGTTAATTAGAGAGTCCATACTATCGAAAGTCTACTATCAAGAGTCAGTTAATTAGAGTGAAACATATAGAATGGATCTACCTCTTAAATCACATGCGGGAGTAAGATAACAAAACGTTTTTTTAGAAAATTTTGTTTCGTTTGTCTGAAAAATTTTGGAGTTTCGTACATGTATGATCTCAGTCAGTGTGCTAGGTGGATAGACTGATCATCTGATCGTATCACCAGCCGAGAGGTGATCGTGTCATCATCCGAGAGAGTGATCAACCGGGAGAGTATAGTATTAAACCAGAATAGTGATTGGGGATCAAACGGAAGAGTGATCAGCCGGAAGATGATCAAAAAGGAAAATATAATCCAACCGCAAAATATATTACTAAAAATTGTGGATATCCTGATCCTGCACCGAGATTCAAACCAAGTAATGAGTAATCCCTCGAAATATCCTCAAAATCCTGTTAACTAAGTCAAATTCTTCATTTTTTAGCGCCGCAGACGAAAATTTTTTGAAGTTTAGAAGCCAAAATCATTCATTTCCCAAAAATCCCGCAAAATTTTCACTCCCGCACCGACCTCTAATACGGACGAGCACGGATATGATACTCCAAATCCGCGGATATCCACTTCAAAATTCTCGCCTCGACGCGAAAAGTAGAACGTACTAAACATAACAATTTATCAATTTAAAAATTAAAGTCATGAGCACATGACGACCAAAAATTAATCGGATTAAGCCCCCGAAGTCAAATATACTATGTGCACATCATCACTTTTTGTAAACATAAAAAACCAAAACAATTAATCAGTTATGGTATATAACTGAGAGTATATTCAAAAATACATTATCTCTTTTAATTTCTTTTTTTCTATCTAACAATTTTATCATATATATTTTCTTTGTTTTCCTCTATGTCTCTCCATATTTCCAACTATATATTTTCTCTATTTAACGTTAGCCTTTAATGCAGACACAGAAAACTTAATTACTTTGAGTCTGGGACAGTCGAGTCTTGTGCTCATTTAATGCTGGTCAAATTTATTTTGAAGTGTCTGCTATAGAAATTACGTGGTGAATAGAGAAAGATAAATTAATAAAGATAATTCATTTTAAATATGTATATACTGAGGTTAACAGAAATCTAGATTTTTTATATCACGTCTGAATTTTATAAATTTGTCATATTTATAAACTGATGATTCTCCCGGGTAACTTCGATAATTATATCGGGTTTCGTTAATTTTTGGTTGCCTAGGTAATCTACGGCTATTTTGTTAGGTTTATATTTTTTCAAGAAAATTTTTTTAGATGGCTGATTCAAACGAATTAATTAATAATACCTCAAAAAATACAAAAATTGGTGATGTTTCAGTTCCCTCATCCTCTTTAGTTGCTTCACATTATAATGCGATCCCTGAGATCGGAATTCAAAAAAGAAATAATAGCAGCATCTTGCACCTTAGAAACTTGAATAATTGGATGAAGAGTATGTTAATAGGTTTGAGTTTTGATTTATTTTAAGAAAATTTTTTTGGAAAGAGATTGGTGGGATCAAATGTCTTCCCCATCAATTCCTTATCAAATTCTTAATTCTCCACAAAATTTTAAAATTCTTCATATTTTTCTAGCTGACACACTTGATAGATTAAAATCGCAAAGTGAAAAATTTGGTTGGGAACAAATAAGAGTATTCGATTTGGCTTGTGGTAAAGGTGGGGATCTTCGAAAATGGCGTGTTGGAGGAATTGATGAAATTGTTATGACTGGTTTATTTTAAATATTTTTTAAAATTCAAATTAATAAAGATATAGCTGAAGTTTCACTTCAAGATTGCAGAGATCGTTTTAACAGGATGAGAGATCGAAGGACAAAACGTTTACCTTTTAATGCTCATTTTGTACAGGCTGATTTAATTGAAGTATTTTTTTGTTTTTTTATATAAAGGATTTATTAAATAAGTCCAAACCAGGGATGTCACGGGTTGAGAAAAATGTCGGGTCGGGTTTCGGGTCGGGTTTCCAAAATTTTTCTCGGATCGGGTTTCGGGTTGAGCAAAAAGTCGGGTCGGGTTTCGGATCGGGTTTTCAAAATTTTCTTCGGATCGGGTTTCGGATCGAAAAAAGCCAAAATTTTGATAATTTTGGAAGGCCAAAAAGCCAAAAATCTTCCCTTCTCAGCGCCGCAGGCGAAAATTTTGAGAATTCTTGAAGGTCCGAAGCCAGATTTCTTCCTTTTTCAGCGCCGCAGGCGAAAATTTTCAGAATTTTGGAAGATCATTAAGCTAAAAATCATCCCTTTTTCTGCGACGCGGGCGAAAATTTTGAGAAAACTCGGGTCGGGTTTTGAAAAATAAAAATTCTCGGGTCGGGTTTCGGGTCGGGTTTTAGAAAATTTCTCGGATCGGGTTTCGGGTATCGGGTCGAAAAAAAGGCCGGGTTTCGGGTATCGGGTTTCGGGTAACCCGTGACATCCCTGGTCCAAACCCGTCTGTTGAATTCGGGTGAGGGCAGAACTTCGTATGACCTTACCTTAACTTCGTCCAAGGGAAAAATATGCATTCTCAATAGTTTGGGGTCTTTTAGCGTGGCCATATAATGGGGAAATGTGTTATATTTAGCCCACCCCTTTTGCGAGGTTACCCTTTATTTTTTTGTTCTTATGCTATTTTTAAAAAACATTTCTAATTTTTCCTCCAAAATTTCTCGAAAATTTAATTAATTTTTTATTTGTTAGGTCGATCTTCCTGATTGTTTACCTAAAGAAGCACCTAAACAATTTGAAATTGCCAGTTGTCAATTTGCACTTCATTATGCTTTCCGTTCTGAACAATGTGCTCGAAAAATGATTGAAAATTGTACAAAAATGATTCAAGTTGGTGGATATTTTATTGGGACAATTACAAATGCTTCAGCTATTGTGTAAGGGAAAAATTAAATTTTTAAAGGCAGGCCCGTAACCAGAATTTTTTTCGGGAGGGGGCCAAGGCGGGGAAGAATCTTAGAAGGACTAGGCAATTCACTTTTTTCCTCAATCCCCTCCCAAAATTATTTCCTTTTCCCCGTTTCGGGGGGGGGGGTCCCCCTTGGTTACGGCTCTGTCTAAAGGAATTTTTTCTGATTAATTTTTTTCTAGACAATATCTACGTAAATCTGCCGGCAATTTTTCTAATCGTGTTTGCAGTGTTTCTTTGGGAAATAATTTCTCTCTTGATGAAGAATCCCCAATTCCTCTGTTTGGCGCTGAAATCCGTTTTAGATTGGAGGGGGTTGTTGATTGTCCTGAATATTTGTGCTACTTTCCTTTGCTTGAAAAGTATTTTTTTATATATTTTATATAAGATTAAAGTTTTTGGAATTAGAAAGTCACCAAAAAGATTAAAATTTTTAAAAATAAGTCTGACTTCAATTACTCTATATGATACCTTTAAGGCTGAAAAATCGTTTGTTACAACGGAGGAGTATCTTGAATCAAGTGTATCCATGGTATAGCTCAGGCAGCCTCCTTTCCCCACCTAGTGTCCAACCAAATTTTAAAAATATTTAAAAAAAGTGATCGGATCTACCGACCTAACACAGATCCCGATTCTTGAGATATAAGCTAGGCATCTGGCTAATTCTGGAGTTCCTCTTATAATGAGGTCCGATTATTAGAATTACACAAGCCTTCTTTCAATTTTTTCCATCCCCTTTTCCTTACAGATTTAATTCCATATTTTTTTAGAATTTTAGAAGAAATGGGCTTTCAATTAATTTATGAATATGACTTTCCCGATGCCATAAATAATTATTTAAAAGAGAGGGGAAATGAAGCTATTGATTTAATGCAGAAAATGGATGCTTTGGAGATTTTGGACAAAAACAAATTTTCTGAAGCAGATGAGGAAGAATTTGGGCCGGCAATTACTAAATTAAAGAGTGGGAACGAGGAAAGAGTGGTTAGTTTATTGGAGGGTGGGGGGTTTTTGGATTTTCAAGGGGATTTTGTTAAGAATTCATGAGATAATTGAATTAATTTTTAAATTCTTGTTAGATATTCTAGCGTTGGGAACTCCTTTGAATTTAGGACCTTAAATTAAGGAAAACCTAAAGAGAGCCCAAAAATACCTCGAGACCTCGACTTTGGAATAATTTTAAGGATTAAAAATCTTTTCTTTTCAGGGCACAATTTCAAAAAGTGAATGGGAAGTAATTACAATGTATAAAGTTTTTGCTTTTCAAAAGTTGTCTGTTTCGGATGAAACCGTTTTTAAACTGGAATAATTTATGTTATTTTCAACAAAACAATTACAATAATAACTTTTAAATTACAAAAAAAAATCCAAAATAAATTAAAAAGGATTACTTAAATAAAAAGTTAATTAAAAGAAAAAGGCATTTAAGAAAAAGAAAAAAGTTAAATAAAAAGAATTAACAACCGGGTAAAAAGAAAAGAAGAAATCCTCAAAGAAAACCCCTTCATTCTGCCTTTTTGGCGAATCCATCAGGATTTTTAACACACCAATTCCAAGTGTCTCTACACATTTCGTCTATTCCATATTCCGCTTTCCATCCAAGTTTTTTGAATGCCAAAGAAGGATCACAATATAAAATAGCCAAATCTCCAGGGCGAGGCTCTACTTCTTTTACTGTTAACTTTAAAAACAGGAAAGAAATTTAAAAATAATTAAAAAAAAATTAGAACCTTTTTCCCTGACGCTTTCTCTAAAGCTGCAACCATTTCTTTGACCTAAAAATTTTTTAAAATAATTTTTCTCTTTCAAAAAAAACCAACAGAATATCCCTTTCCAGTTCCCAAATTGTAAATTTCTGCCAATTCTTCTCCATTACTTCCTTTTGGTATATCTTTGCCAATATTATCTAGTGCAGAAACGTGAGCCTTAAAAATGAAAATAATTCTTTAGAGATTTTTTAAAAATCCTAAATCAGCATCAAGATTTACAAATATGTGTTAGACAGTTCTAAAACAGTCTGCTCTTTTTGTTCCCCAGAGCCGTATATTTTCAAGATTAAACCAAATACAAGCCTGAGTAAAGAAGCCGAACCCGTCTCAAAAATAGGAAAAGATGGGAAGGGACATAATATCGAGAGTCAAGGTCATCCCCACCATTTTTGCTTTTTTGATAAGCTGGTTGGGAGGTAACTTCGCCAGCCCTACACTAGGAAATCTCAATTATAAAAGATTATCGGAAATTTTGGAAATTAAATAATTCCCAATTTGACATTCAAAAAACTAAACCCCAAAAAAATTAAAAACCTTAGCCAAATCAACAATGTGAATATAATCACGAACTCCAGTACCATCAGGAGTATTATAATTTGTTCCAAAAATATTTAAATGAGGCAATTTTCCAACTGCAACTTTTGCGATGTAAGGCATCTTTTAAAATAAATTTGAATTTAAAAAATATTATAAAAAATTAAACCAAATTGTTTGGAATTCCTTGAGGATCTTCACCAATCAATCCACTTGGATGTGCCCCAACAGGGTTGAAGTAACGAAGGATTGAAATTTTCCAGTCCTTTAAAAAAATAATTCTTTAAAAATTTTTCAAAACTAACAGGGAAAGGTTGCGAGGTGTCCGACCTAAAAACGGTCGAGACCGGGCTCATTCGATAGAGAATGTGCCCTTTCTAGCAAGGGCACATTCAATTTCAAGGGCAATTTTGTGCCGTTTTTGTCTGAATTTGATCTGGCCAAGATATGGCCCTCCAAAGTCCCAAAATTTTCAGACAATTCACAGACTTTATAAAATAAAAACTTTAGCGAGTAAAAACGACTGAGAATGGGAAAGAATGTTACAAAAATCTACAAGAAATGAGAGAGTAGTTAAACCGTCCGCAAAATGAAAATTTTGTCCGCAAAAATTATTTAACTGAAAAAAATCCAAAAATGACTCGCTTTAATCCCAAGAATTCAAAGTTCTTAAAAACCTGTTCAGCTCGTTTCAAATCCATAAGAATACGTTCAACCATAAATTTAGTTTGTCCATAAGGATTAGTAATTCCCAGACCAACACGGCTTTCCTCAGTTAAAGGTAAAGACTCTGTTCTCCATAAACAGTTGCACTACTCGAGAAAATGAATTCTTTGACATTAAATTTTTGACAATACTACAAAAATATAAAAAGAAATTTTTTTTTAATATTTTCGAATTTTGCGGACAGCATTTGCGGACAACACTTGCGGATTATTTTTACAATTTTTATAAAACAACCAGCATAAGTTCTAAAAAATCTATTGTTTAACCTTAAAGGCCAATTCAATTTTCAAATTAAAAAATCCGCAAATATTGTCCGCAAGTTTAGTTGCGGACAAATTCATTGACGAGGACTAGTCCGCAAAATATTTAAAATCTAATAAAAAAACCTTAATTAAATTAAGAGAGCCAACAATATTGTTGTTATAATAGTCCAAAGGTTTGGCCACTGATTCCCCTAAAATTAAAAAAATTTTAAGGAAATAAAATTAATTAACAGACCAACAGATTTTAAAGCAGCACAATGAATAATTGAACGAAATTTTTCCTAAAAAATAGAAAAAAATAATTATTTAAATTAATTTTGACCTTTGCAAAAAGTTCTTCTAATTTGGGTAAATCAAGAACGTCAGCTTGGAAAAATCTAAAAAAATTTAAATTTTAGAAAAATCCGCAAATTTTTTGCGGACAAAATTTCTGAGGGACCTAAAATCCGCAAAACAGTTGCAAACAGATTTTTGAGGGAAATAAAAATCCGTAAAAAATTTTGTGGACAAAATTGATGGAACTTAAAATCCGCAAATTTTTTGCGGACTAATTATAGGGGGAATTTCGTCCGCAATTATTATCCGCAAAAAAATATTTTTTACTTTATAGTCTTTCCAGTCAATTCAGAAACTCTTTGCAAACTAACAGCATTATTCTTCCCTTCATCTTAAATTTTTAAACAAAAAAAATAAAGTTTAATATTTCCAAAACCTTGTGGAATTGAATTACTAAAATTATCTAATGCCAAAACTTCATAATCCGCCTCCAATAATTGCAGAACTGTATGTGAGCCGATAAATCCATCTGCTCCTGTAACCAAAACTGTGCCTTCTGCATTTTTGTAGGAAGCAGTAGATTTTACAGAGAAGGGGATAAAAGGGGAGTAACCTTGTTGAATTGAAAAAATTTAAATTTTAGAAAATCCGCAAAATTTTGCAGACAATAAAAGTTTTTTTTTATTTTTTATGAATAAAAATACATTATGCCATTAAAAATTGGGAGCTATTTGAGTATGTGGGTCTTAAGGAAACATCTACAGTAATTCAAGACATAGGTGTTTCTTACAAAAACTAATATTTAAGCGAATTATCATTATCATAAAATCTCCATTATAAGGAGAATTTAGAGAGGAGGACGTATAAGTAATAGAAATAGGAGCAAAAAATGAGAGGAAATAAATAGATTATTTGCTACAAGAGCGGAAAAATATCAACACATAATATCCGAAACAACATAACATCAAAAATTTTCTGTTTCTTTATATTCACAATAGCATCACGAATCCCAATCAAGTGGTGGTTTCAAATTGCAGCGTTTCCTCTTTGCAACACGTCTAAGCATTTCACGCACCCAGTTGTAATCTATTTTATCAACATAATGAAGCTTCTTGAGGTAGGAAACTATACTTCGAAGTTCAGTGAACTAAAAAACAAAAGCGTTTTAGAATAGTTTAATTAATGACACCTCTTCATCCTTGAACAAATTATATGGATTCGAAAAACAATCTTCTTTGTGCCTCTCAATATTTCCAAGGTCCTGTTCTAACCTCCACGGCAGTTTCGTTTTGGTGATCATATCAGCGACCATATACATCCAACTTTCCAGGTCTTCTTTAAAACTGGAGTCCTTGCCTTGATGCATTGACAGTGGCGAGAATTTTACCGTGCCTTTAAATCGAATCTGGAAAATTAAAAAACATTGAATAAGCTTTAAACTCAAGGATTGTAAAATTACATTTGATCGAGGGCTTATAATTGTTCCATCCGAGCACAACATTCGTTTTGACATACTAAAGTCTATGATGTAGATTGAATGGTGTCGATTGTTCTGACGAAGTCCAATAGTGAAATTGCTAGGTTTCACATCACGGTGGATGTATCCAAGAATATGCAGCGCTTTCAAACATTCAAGAGCCTCCAAGGAGCAATAAAGGCCAGTGTTCAGGCTGTGGGAAAAATTATTATTATTACTATTGATAACCCCGTTATTATTACCTAAATATATGATAGGATCCTCGTTTCCGCTTCAATGAAGAGAGTGACTCGCCAAACAGAGTCATAACAAAAATCATCGAAGTTTCCAAATTACATGTAGAGTGCAAAACAGCAAATCGCTTTTGATCCTCATCTGTTGAACCTTTCACTGCCTCTAAAATCGCTATCTCTCTGAGCAGATTAAATTGACATCCTGGCTTTGACTGTTCTTCTTTTACTGCAAACATTGAACCGTCTTTGCTATCAACGACTTTATACACTGATGAAAAAGCTCCTTTAGACAAGTAATCCACCACTTTGTAGGTTTGACCTTCACTGAAAATTCAAAAAGGAAATATGAATTTAGGAGGCTAATTTAGGTAATTTACCAAGTTATCTGTTCTCCTTTAACCCTTACATGGCCTTTCTTTGGTTCAACTTCGTCTACGTGTGCTTGCTTATCTGGCTGTTGATGTTGAATATTAGGACGTCGTTCCATTGGTTGTGGTTGAGCAGTAGAATGTCGTTGTTGTTCCATTGGCTGGGGGCGTCTCTTTACAATCTCTTGGTTGAAGAAGCGGGGCAAATGCGCCATTACTTTTGTTGATATGTTTGTGGTCTTGATGTTTTCAAGTTTTGAGTATTCGCCTTTTATAGTATGATTTTATTCTTTCCAGATACTTGAAATCTCAAAATTTAGCGTGTGGAACTAAAAACGTAACGGACAATAGACTACTATATACTCACCCAATTTAATTTCCCTTAAAATAATACAAACTATAGATAGGACCAATCAAGTTTTCAAAGGATTTTTAAGCTAACAAACTCGAAGAGTGATGCTCTTGGTCTGTCTTTAGTTGAAAGTGAAACTCTTCTTCAGTTAACTGATAGATAGCCGAAAATGTTCCAATTTAACTGATCGAACAAGATGAAATAATTTTAATTGTTCCATTTTATTTTATACACCTCTTTTAATTATTCATGTGCCAAGAGTAAAACAAAAGAAAGAAAAAAACAAGATGAGAAGCTGAAAAGTCCGCTGAAATTTTTACGATATTTAGGTTATTCGGCAAGTATTAAGCATTATTTTTTAAATTTGATTAAGCTAAGATGGTTTTATTATTGAGTTAAGCAATAATTTAAAAAATGTTGGTTGTCAAGTTTATTTTATAATTGTTTTAACCAAAAGATTAAAAATTAAACCTACTTCCCCTCGTAATTTTTTTATTTTTTTAAAGAGGCTTATGTAAATAAATATTTTAAATTTTTATTTTTTAAATTTAATTTATCAATTTTCTTTTAACAACAACAATATTTATTTAAAAATTAGTTTAAAATTAAGGAAATTATTTAAAATATAAATAGAAATATCTCCTTTTTGTTCCGAAATTCCACGTGATTTTTTTTCCAAGCAGTTTAATAAAACATCCGCTAAAATAAATTAAAATTTAATCTTTCTTTTTTTTCCACTTTTAACTGATCGAACAATCCCTTTGGGACAAATTTAATTTTTTTTTATCAAAAAATGCCATTCTTTTCATTAATAAAATATGTAGGAGGAAATATCTATTACCGCTCATTGCCATGCTTTTTCCATTAATTTAGCATCTGGAGAAGAAAAACAAAAAATAATAAAAAGGGTTCCAAAAAGAAAAGTCGCCTGACTAAAAAGAAAAACCGCTAAAACACAACGAGGAGGGAAAGACAGCTGCTTGAATTTGAGGTTTTTTAGGGGCAGATGAGAGGGAAGGGGTTTTCTGTGGCTGCACATAAGCTGTCACTCGTTTCAAGCCGCATTTTTAATCGATTCCTTTTTATCACAAGTCTGGAAGAGAAATGAGAAAATGTGTGGGAAATATGGGGGGGTTAAGGATGGGACATCTGTGCGTGTGTTTGGTTCGGGAATAAATAAAAAAAGGGAGGGGGAACATATTTTGAAAGAAGCCTGCTTTACCTCCCCTTCCAACCTTTTTTTATCTCCCCCGCAAGGCTCTGAACCATATACATATTTCCTATATTTTTTATTGAGATAAAAAAAAGAGAAGCTGGCAATGCTTCTTCTTCTTCTTCTAGTCTATGAAATTCAACCCCTATTTCTCGTTTACTCATTCAAGGCAATATATTTACGGTCAACAAACTCAATTTCTTGAATTCATTTTGTGCCTTATTTTTTATTTTGATAAAAAGGCAACCCAAAAGTTAATTCTAAATATTAAATTACTTTTTTGACATTAATAAAAAATATATTTTTTACTTCCCGAATTTACTTTAAAAATAATAACTTTTATTTATTGAAATTTAATGTTCGAAATGTTTGTTTTAAATATCTATGATGTTTGAGATAATGTTTAAAATTGTTTTCTTTTAAATGTTTTGTTTGTTTAAAATGTTTTGTTTGGATTGTTTGTTTGAATTTTTTGTTTTTGTTCTAATTGTTTTGTTTGTTTAAATTTCATTCAAACAAACATCTAACAACATAAACATTAATGAGAAAAGCATTATAAAATGTTTTTTTTTGTTTTAGCAATGTTTGAGATGATGTTTGTATGAAAATAGTGTATTTACATAATTTTCTAATTTAAAATGAGAAACTTCAGGAAAGAAACACGGAAAGTGTTTCTATTAAATGTTGTTTTTCTGTCTGAGTTTTTGAAGCTAATTTAAATTAAATTTAGTTTTAAAGAAAATTTGCTTTAAAGTTGTTTTTAATTTTGACTTAATCCTATTTAAAATTTAAAATTAATTTTTTTTTTAAATTTAATTGCATTTTTAAGGCTATTCAATTGTTTCTTTTGTCGATTTGTTTTTATGTTTTGGGTGTATCTTGTGTTCTTGTTTATTTTAGGGTTTTCTATTTTTATTTTATTATTTTTTGTTTATATTTTCATTTTTATATTTTATTTATTTTCCCATTATTTAAAATTAATTTAATAATTTATTTAAAGAATTAAAGAACCTCCCACCATAAACAATAATTATTTAATATTTTTATTCCAATGTTTTATTCTTTTTCCCCAAACATTCTTCACAACAAATAAGACAAACACTAAAAACATCAATAAAAACATGAATATATTTAAAACAACAATAAACGAACAACAACAACAAAAACATTTATTACCTCAACAACATGTTTTAATTAAAAGTTCCCCAATGTTTTTACAAACTTTAAATAATTCTTTTACTGAAACAAAACAATTAGAACAACAAGATGGACTAAATATACAAAACTGCCTCATGAATGTAAGGGGGTAGAATTCATAGGATTATCATAGATGGGACTAAATATACAAAACTGCCTCATGAATGTAAGGGGGTAGAATTCATAGGATTATCATAGATGGGACTAAATATACAAAACTGCCTCATGAATGTAAGGGGGTAGAATTCATAGGATTATCATAGATGGGACTAAATATACAAAACTGCCTCATGAATGTAAGGGGGTAGAATTCATAGGATTATCATAGATGGGACTAAATATACAAAACTGCCTCATGAATGTAAGGGGGTAGAATTCATAGGATTATCATAGATGGGACTAAATATACAAAACTGCCTCATGAATGTAAGGGGGTAGAATTCATAGGATTATCATAGATGGGACTAAATATACAAAACTGCCTCATGAATGTAAGGGGGTAGAATTCATAGGATTATCATAGATGGGACTAAATATACAAAACTGCCTCATGAATGTAAGGGGGTAGAATTCATAGGATTATCATAGATGGGACTAAATATACAAAACTGCCTCATGAATGTAAGGGGGTAGAATTCATAGGATTATCATAGATGGGACTAAATATACAAAACTGCCTCATGAATGTAAGGGGGTAGAATTCATAGGATTATCATAGATGGGACTAAATATACAAAACTGCCTCATGAATGTAAGGGGGTAGAATTCATAGGATTATCATAGATGGGACTAAATATACAAAACTGCCTCATGAATGTAAGGGGTTAGAATTCATAGGATTATCATAGATGGGACTAAATATACAAAACTGCCTCATGAATGTAAGGGGGTAGAATTCATAGGATTATCATAGATGGGACTAAATATACAAAACTGCCTCATGAATGTAAGGGGGTAGAATTCATAGGATTATCATAGATGGGACTAAATATACAAAACTGCCTCATGAATGTAAGGGGGTAGAATTCATAGGATTATCATAGATGGGACTAAATATACAAAACTGCCTCATGAATGTAAGGGGGTAGAATTCATAGGATTATCATAGATGGGACTAAATATACAAAACTGCCTCATGAATGTAAGGGGGTAGAATTCATAGGATTATCATAGATGGGACTAAATATACAAAACTGCCTCATGAATGTAAGGGGGTAGAATTCATAGGATTATCATAGATGGGACTAAATATACAAAACTGCCTCATGAATGTAAGGGGGTAGAATTCATAGGATTATCATAGATGGGACTAAATATACAAAACTGCCTCATGAATGTAAGGGGGTAGAATTCATAGGATTATCATAGATGGGACTAAATATACAAAACTGCCTCATGAATGTAAGGGGGTAGAATTCATAGGATTATCATAGATGGGACTAAATATACAAAACTGCCTCATGAATGTAAGGGGGTAGAATTCATAGGATTATCATAGATGGGACTAAATATACAAAACTGCCTCATGAATGTAAGGGGGTAGAATTCATAGGATTATCATAGATGGGACTAAATATACAAAACTGCCTCATGAATGTAAGGGGGTAGAATTCATAGGATTATCATAGATGGGACTAAATATAGAAAATTACAATGTATAAAGTTTTTGTTTTTCAAAAGTCTGTCCTGAATGAAACCGTAGATGAATCAAAATCTTGAATTTAATAAATCGAAATTTTTTTTAACTTTGGAATAATTTATTTGTTATTTTCAACAAAACAATCACAATAATAAATTTTAAGTTACAAAAAAAAATCCAGAAATAAATTAAAAAGGGATTAATTAAATTAAAAGTTGAATAATTAAAAGAATCGTTCATGACCGATTTTAAAATCGAAGACGTTCGAGAGTAATTTTAAAAAATTCACCCAAAATAAAATATTTAAGACTCATAATCAGATGCCGATTAATAATCAGTAGTGAATAACCTTATTAAATAATTATAAAGAAAAAGGCATTTAAGAAAGAAAAGTTAAATTTTAAAGAATTAACAACCGGGTAAATAGAAAAGAAGAAATCTCCACAAAAAACCCTTCATTCTGCCTTTTTGGCAAATCCATCAGGATTTTTAACACACCAATTCCAAGTGTCTCTACACATTTCGTCTATTCCATATTCCGCTTTCCATCCAAGTTTTTTGAATGCCAAAGAAGGATCACAATATAAAATAGCCAAATCTCCAGGGCGAGGCTCTACTTCTTTTACTGTTAACTTTAAAAACAGGAAAGAAATTTAAAAATAATTAAAAAAAAATTAGAACCTTTTTCCCTGACGCTTTCTCTAAAGCTGCAACCATTTCTTTGACCTAAAAATTTTTTAAAATAATTTTTCTCTTTCAAAAAAAACCAACAGAATATCCCTTTCCAGTTCCCAAATTGTAAATTTCTGCCAATTCTTCTCCATTACTTCCTTTTGGTATATCTTTGCCAATATTATCTAGTGCAGAAACGTGAGCCTTAAAAATGAAAATAATTCTTTAGAGATTTTTTAAAAATCCTAAATCAGCATCAAGATTTACAAATATGTGTTAGACAGTTCTAAAACAGTCTGCTCTTTTTGTTCCCCAGAGCCGTATATTTTCAAGATTAAACCAAATACAAGCCTGAGTAAAGAAGCCGAACCCGTCTCAAAAATAGGAAAAGATGGGAAGGGACATAATATCGAGAGTCAAGGTCATCCCCACCATTTTTGCTTTTTTGATAAGCTGGTTGGGAGGTAACTTCGCCAGCCCTACACTAGGAAATCTCAATTATAAAAGATTATCGGAAATTTTGGAAATTAAATAATTCCCAATTTGACATTCAAAAAACTAAACCCCAAAAAAATTAAAAACCTTAGCCAAATCAACAATGTGAATATAATCACGAACTCCAGTACCATCAGGAGTATTATAATTTGTTCCAAAAATATTTAAATGAGGCAATTTTCCAACTGCAACTTTTGCGATGTAAGGCATCTTTTAAAATAAATTTGAATTTAAAAAATATTATAAAAAATTAAACCAAATTGTTTGGAATTCCTTGAGGATCTTCACCAATCAATCCACTTGGATGTGCCCCAACAGGGTTGAAGTAACGAAGGATTGAAATTTTCCAGTCCTTTAAAAAAATAATTCTTTAAAAATTTTTCAAAACTAACAGGGAAAGGTTGCGAGGTGTCCGACCTAAAAACGGTCGAGACCGGGCTCATTCGATAGAGAATGTGCCCTTTCTAGCAAGGGCACATTCAATTTCAAGGGCAATTTTGTGCCGTTTTTGTCTGAATTTGATCTGGCCAAGATATGGCCCTCCAAAGTCCCAAAATTTTCAGACAATTCACAGACTTTATAAAATAAAAACTTTAGCGAGTAAAAACGACTGAGAATGGGAAAGAATGTTACAAAAATCTACAAGAAATGAGAGAGTAGTTAAACCGTCCGCAAAATGAAAATTTTGTCCGCAAAAATTATTTAACTGAAAAAAATCCAAAAATGACTCGCTTTAATCCCAAGAATTCAAAGTTCTTAAAAACCTGTTCAGCTCGTTTCAAATCCATAAGAATACGTTCAACCATAAATTTAGTTTGTCCATAAGGATTAGTAATTCCCAGACCAACACGGCTTTCCTCAGTTAAAGGTAAAGACTCTGTTCTCCATAAACAGTTGCACTACTCGAGAAAATGAATTCTTTGACATTAAATTTTTGACAATACTACAAAAATATAAAAAGAAATTTTTTTTTAATATTTTCGAATTTTGCGGACAGCATTTGCGGACAACACTTGCGGATTATTTTTACAATTTTTATAAAACAACCAGCATAAGTTCTAAAAAATCTATTGTTTAACCTTAAAGGCCAATTCAATTTTCAAATTAAAAAATCCGCAAATATTGTCCGCAAGTTTAGTTGCGGACAAATTCATTGACGAGGACTAGTCCGCAAAATATTTAAAATCTAATAAAAAAACCTTAATTAAATTAAGAGAGCCAACAATATTGTTGTTATAATAGTCCAAAGGTTTGGCCACTGATTCCCCTAAAATTAAAAAAATTTTAAGGAAATAAAATTAATTAACAGACCAACAGATTTTAAAGCAGCACAATGAATAATTGAGCGAAATTTTTCCTAAAAAATAGAAAAAAATAATTATTTAAATTAATTTTGACCTTTGCAAAAAGTTCTTCTAATTTGGGTAAATCAAGAACGTCAGCTTGGAAAAATCTAAAAAAATTTAAATTTTAGAAAAATCCGCAAATTTTTTGCGGACAAAATTTCTGAGGGACCTAAAATCCGCAAAACAGTTGCAAACAGATTTTTGAGGGAAATAAAAATCCGTAAAAAATTTTGTGGACAAAATTGATGGAACTTAAAATCCGCAAATTTTTTGCGGACTAATTATAGGGGGAATTTCGTCCGCAATTATTATCCGCAAAAAAATATTTTTTACTTTATAGTCTTTCCAGTCAATTCAGAAACTCTTTGCAAACTAACAGCATTATTCTTCCCTTCATCTTAAATTTTTAAACAAAAAAAATAAAGTTTAATATTTCCAAAACCTTGTGGAATTGAATTACTAAAATTATCTAATGCCAAAACTTCATAATCCGCCTCCAATAATTGCAGAACTGTATGTGAGCCGATAAATCCATCTGCTCCTGTAACCAAAACTGTGCCTTCTGCATTTTTGTAGGAAGCAGTAGATTTTACAGAGAAGGGGATAAAAGGGGAGTAACCTTGTTGAATTGAAAAAATTTAAATTTTAGAAAATCCGCAAAATTTTGCAGACAATAAAAGTTTTTTTTTATTTTTTATGAATAAAAATACATTATGCCATTAAAAATTGGGAGCTATTTGAGTATGTGGGTCTTAAGGAAACATCTACAGTAATTCAAGACATAGGTGTTTCTTACAAAAACTAATATTTAAGCGAATTATCATTATCATAAAATCTCCATTATAAGGAGAATTTAGAGAGGAGGACGTATAAGTAATAGAAATAGGAGCAAAAAATGAGAGGAAATAAATAGATTATTTGCTACAAGAGCGGAAAAATATCAACACATAATATCCGAAACAACATAACATCAAAAATTTTCTGTTTCTTTATATTCACAATAGCATCACGAATCCCAATCAAGTGGTGGTTGCTATATTTGGTATCATATAGCTTAACTCGGGTTCTACTATTCTGGGGACTTATATTAGACTGAATTACATTCTTCAATATTTATTCTATTCTCCATATAAAATGGGATACAATAATAAGGGAGAGATTGGCTAGGCCAAATCTTCTGATAATGAGGAAAGGCTGGGGTATTTATAATGACAATTTGAGGGTCAAAATATAAATGGAAAGTGAATGACAAAATTAAGATAAGAGTCAAGAGTTGAATGAGAATGTCGGGAGACCTTTATAATTAGAAATAGGTCAACTTTATATTTGCATGTGAAATGCAAATTGTTTATTTGATTTAGCGAATGCAGCATTCCTTCCCTCTTCGAAAAGAACGTCCACGTTCTGATATTTCGGGAGATTTGTTTAGGCTGGTTTTTTTTAACTAAATTTTCTTCGATTTAACGGGTGGCACTTTAACTTTTAAATATTTTATATATAATTTTTTTTCATTCTCGTCTTTTGTTTCTCATGACGGTATTTTCAATAATTAATTTTTATATTTAAATGCCATCGCTTAACAATCTCCATTTGGGTTTAAAAATCTTTTTCTTGTCATTAAAGATTTTGTGCTGATGGTGCTTTAACTCCATATTCTCCGACATTAATAATTTTTAGAGAGAATTACTGAATGGGGCAGATTACATAATTTTGAAAGGGTTAAAAACAAGGGAAAAATTACAAACAAGGGAATTAAGAAAAAATCGGTTTACAAAAAATTTTAAAAATTAATTAGGTTGACAAGAACTTATGGAGTTTTCTTTCACAGCCTAGTTGAGCATCATTCTTTCCAGTGTTGTCCATTTGATTCTTTGAGTGCCATGTGCCATTTTTGCATCCAGAGTTGATCAGTCATTTCATTTTGTTGTCCCTTATCATTAATTGTTGAGGCATAGTTCCATTATTGTTCTTCTTCTCTGACTTCTAATTGAGTTTCTCCGTTGTCAAAACGGGCAAAAGATTTTATGATCAATCTTCAAAATTTCTTATTTTTTGCTTTTTATGAAAAATTCTTAAACACTTTTTTCCTTCCCTTCAATAAAAAATCGTCTTGCTTTTGCTTGTCCTCCACAGCTATCACTGCTTAAAGATTAAGTTTAGATCCATTCTCGGTTTTATTTGCTGCGCACCCCGCGTCTTATGCATTATAGCCAGGCACCTAGCCCGCACAAAGCTTCGGCTATTTAATTATTTACCACAGAAAGTTCTTTTCCGCTTCTATCTTCAGTGCTAACTTTTCAGATCATTACATCTTCAAGACGTTTTTCTAAATCCTACAATTTCAAAATTTCCATTTTCTAGAATTTTTCAATTTTTCTCACATCAGCTATGCCATTATCTTTTTGTGGATGCTTTTAATATTTTTTTTTTAATTTCTAGCTATCTCGGTTCATAACCGGCATTTTAATTCATTCATTTTTGTCTCGAATATTTTCTTTCTTCGGGTCAATGCCCGGTATTTTAATTTTTAGTCCTCTCAGAATAGCCCGGGACAAGTGGCACCAATTACTATATTTGGGTATTATATAGCTTAGCTCGGGTTCTACTATTCTGGGGACTTATATTAGACTGAATTACATTCTTCAATATTTATTCTATTCTCCATATAAAATGGGATACAATAATAAGGGAGAGATTGGCTAGGCCAAATCTTCTGATAATGAGGAAAGGCTGGGGTATTTATAATGACAATTTGAGGGTCAAAATATAAATGGAAAGTGAATGACAAAATTAAGATAAGAGTCAAGAGTTGAATGAGAATGTCGGGAGACCTTTATAATTAGAAATAGGTCAACTTTATATTTGCATGTGAAATGCAAATTGTTTATTTGATTAAGCGAATGCAGCAGTGGTTTCAAATTGCAGCGTTTCCTCTTTGCAACACGTCTAAGCATTTCACGCACCCAGTTGTAATCTATTTTATCAACATAATGAAGCTTCTTGAGGTAGGAAACTATACTTCGAAGTTCAGTGAACTAAAAAACAAAAGCGTTTTAGAATAGTTTAATTAATGACACCTCTTCATCCTTGAACAAATTATATGGATTCGAAAAACAATCTTCTTTGTGCCTCTCAATATTTCCAAGGTTCTGTTCTAACCTCCACGGCAGTTTCGTTTTGGTGATCATATCAGCGACCATATACATCCAACTTTCCAGGTCTTCTTTAAAACTGGAGTCCTTGCCTTGATGCATTGACAGTGGCGAGAATTTTACCGTGCCTTTAAATCGAATCTGGAAAATTAAAAAACATTGAATAAGCTTTAAACTCAAGGATTGTAAAATTACATTTGATCGAGGGCTTATAATTGTTCCATCCGAGCACAACATTCGTTTTGACATACTAAAGTCTATGATGTAGATTGAATGGTGTCGATTGTTCTGACGAAGTCCAATAGTGAAATTGCTAGGTTTCACATCACGGTGGATGTATCCAAGAATATGCAGCGCTTTCAAACATTCAAGAGCCTCCAAGGAGCAATAAAGGCCAGTGTTCAGGCTGTGGGAAAAATTATTATTATTACTATTGATAACCCCGTTATTATTACCTAAATATATGATAGGATCCTCGTTTCCGCTTCAATGAAGAGAGTGACTCGCCAAACAGAGTCATAACAAAAATCATCGAAGTTTCCAAATTACATGTAGAGTGCAAAACAGCAAATCGCTTTTGATCCTCATCTGTTGAACCTTTCACTGCCTCTAAAATCGCTATCTCTCTGAGCAGATTAAATTGACATCCTGGCTTTGACTGTTCTTCTTTTACTGCAAACATTGAACCGTCTTTGCTATCAACGACTTTATA